GAGGGACCTGGAGAGTTTGTATAAATAAAGGGTTGTCAGATGAGATTAGATAACATTAGAACACAGCATTTGAGGGGAAGAAGCTTAGATTTCGGAAGAGGAGTTCAGACCTGGCAGGTTATCAGTAGACCTAGAAAAGTGAAAACTATCTAAAGTGAGGGAATAATTTGATGGAACAAACTGACAGGAATCAGCAGCCATTTAAACTTTAGAAAACGAGGTAGGAGGGAGCCAGGACCAGGAAATAGATTGGTGGGATCAAAACCTATATATGAGGGGTGCCTGGGCGGCTCAGGTAAACACCCGACTCTTGACTTTGGCTTGGTTGTGATCTCAGGGTCATGGGATCAAGCTCCATGTCTGACTCCCTGCTCAGTGATTCCAAATTCAGTGGGGAGTCTGCTTCAGATTCTTTCTCCCTTTGCCCCTCCCTGCATATGCCCGTGCGCTCTGTCTCTCAAATAAATAATCTTCAGGGGGGAAAAAAAGCCTAAACATGAGAAAACTTGGTATTTAGAGAGCCCAAATTTAGAGTGCATGCAGCCCTGATCTTGTGACCCAAGTATAGAGAAGGGAGTCATTAGGGAAATGGAAAAGGAGGTCACAGGATAAATTTTCATTCTTTTCCAACATTTTCCAGTGTAAAACCAGATCAAATTTTGAGAATACAGGGAGAATTACATTCCCAATTTTTGGTCAGGAGTTGATATATCTAATTAGAATGAGGGTTGGAACGATACTTGACACTTCCTAATGGCAATGTTGTAGCAGAATTGTTATCAGCTGGGTAAGACAGGTGTATTACTGTGGATCAGACACTCAGTCCTATCCTATAGATCTAAAGATTAAATATTCTCTCTTGATATAAGTTAGACTACTTATAGAAGTTTTTAAAAAGCTTTGAATGGTCTGATATTTCAGCACTGTTTTCTTTTTCTAAAATCCTCACTGTTATAGTGATGTTATACCTGTCTCAACAAATGGTCTTTGAGGGAGGTCCTAGAGGACGGAGTTGGTGTTGAGGGTTGACAACGGGAATGTATAAGAACACTTAAATTTAGAGATAAAATTGAATGGGAGAAAAAGGGGCACCTAAATTAAGAGTGTGACTCTGATTTTGGCTAGAGTCATGATTTCAGGGTTGTGGGGGACCTGCTTGGGATTCTCCCTCTCCCTCACAGCCTGCTGCCTCCCCCCCATAGAAAGAGAAAATAGAAAGTGGATGAAGATAAGCTGTCTCTGCAGTCAGGTGCTGGGTTCACATTAGTTTGCTAAATGTATAAATTTATATTCCATCTACTTCAAAGAGAACTTTGTATCAAAATTAGACACTGGTGAAAATATATTTTATATTTGGATACAGTAAAACTAATAGTTAAATATAGCAGAGAAGTAGATGTCAGTAGACATTTGAGATTTTTGATCTGACAAGTAAGATAAACTTGAGCAAGCTCACTTAGAAGCCAAGGTACTAGATGGGAGAAACATGTTAAATCATCTTTTCTTGATTAAAAAAGTAAGCATGTGGAAACTGGCTGAGTCATTCTCCTGTTCTGCATTCAAGGAGAATATACTTTGGGAATTATTGCATAAGATTTTTTTTTTGGTTAAAGATAATTATTTCTTTAACAGATGGGTAAAACACAATGTTTCTAGAGCAAGTCTTTCATCAGTCTTTGTAAGCTGAGGACTTAGTTAAGGCATTCATTGAAGAGTTAGATGAAATGATCTGTGCCTATTTTCTGAGGATCAGATTTAATAAAGAAATGAGATTTTAGAGAATCTAGAGTAATGGTTAGTTGGAAGCATATAAAGTGAGCCTTGGAAGAGTACTTAACTACTCGGTATTTCTCTGAGTACTACCTTAAATTTCTGCAGTATGTGCATTTTAAAAGGCAGGGTATCTCAGGTAAAAGCTGACTTTTCAGACTGTTGAGAATGTTTAATAAATCTTAATTATATTTCCCCTACCTCATCCCCTACCCCCATTACATACACACATACAACAAACAAAGCTTTGGTCTGCTAGACTATGAACTAATGCTTGATCGAACTTCAGGGCTTTACTATACAAAGTGAAAGTATATGTAGTCAACTGTGGGAAAAAGATGATGTATCTTCATTGCCCTAATAATATAAATTATTATAGAATGGACTTGCAAGTCGCTGAGTGAAGAAGTGCTTGATGGATCCTTTAATGTTATTCATTTAAATGGAGAACGCCTACAGAGTAGGATTTTAATTTTAATAATGGCTAACCCTGTTGAGCAACTTTAGTGTGTTCTAAAAGCTTTATTTTTATGTGATGTTTCTGTGAAATGAGTTTCTGTTCTGTGAATGAGAAACCTAAGGTTCAGAGGTTTAGCAGCTTGTGATAAGATGATGTAGTTGAACTCATACCCATGTCTTTCTGTGCAGAGCTTGTGCAATGCTTTGTCTTGTATGTATTCATTTTAACTTATTCTTAACAAATATCTGTTTTCTCCCAGATAATGAAGATATAGTTTGGAGAAAAGGGAAAAAAATCTAAACAAAAAAGACATGGTGTCTATCCTTAGAGCTTAATCTCTTGTAGGAGAGGGCAGGAGCGGATTTCAGATGGGCAGCAGCCAGGACCTACTGAGAAATTCTGAGAAATTGACCTTTATTTTATACATTCAGTTTGTTGTAAGCACTATAGAATGTGTTGATGTTATTTTGTACCTGGTAGTAATTGAAGCCACAAGTGTATTAAAATTTCAGGTAGTAATTGAAGCCCCAAGTGTTTTAAAATTTCCTGTGACTTTAGCAGACATAGCTTAAATGATCTGATGGGATCTTGACCTAATGGTTGGCAGTATCAACAGGTGGGCACTTCTTTGGGAACTTAAAGGGAAGGACATTTGTACTTCTTCCACAAATGATTTCAGCTTGAACAGCTCTTGTAGCATTAACATCTTAACTGTGTTAAAGGAACTTACATCCTTTGACCTTTGATGATACTGTCACTCTCTATGACAGTCCATTTAAAAATCAAGTATTAGTTAAATGATCAGACAAGTAAATGTCAAAGTACTATAATGAGTGCTTCAAAGGTGAATGACAGTACAGTGAGAGTAAGAAAGAGTAGGTACCAATGTGGCTGGGAGGGTAGGGAAGGTTTCCTCATTAAGTGTTGCTCCAACCGAGATGAATGAGTACACATTAACTAGTGAGGAGACCCTGGTGAAGAGTGTTCCAAGTAGAGGGAACAAGCCCATTTTCAATGCTCTGTGGCAGGAAGCTCAAAAAAGATTATTGTTCTGGAGCAAAGGGCTCAGCGGGGAAGCGTAGAATATGATGAGACTGGAAAGGTGGAGAGGAGTTCCCATATGTGTTTATCCAAAGCATGGGAAGTGAATTGACCTTTTTAAGGGGATATTAGTCACCCGATTAGATTAGTTTTTGAAAAGATAGACATGCACATCCATTTGGATTGTCCTTTGGGTGAGAGATGAAAGTGTTTGGGGCTATGGTTGTGGTTGTGGTTAAAGGAGAAGGAGTTGAAAATATGGGGAAAACTGGATAGAATCCATAGAATTCATCGATAGGTTATAAGGGGTGCCAGAGCAAAAGCTGTAGAGGACTCCCTAAGTTGCTAGTTGACTAACCAACACATTCTGTTTTAGTTACTTTTTAGTCTGTTCAGGTGTTTTGCAATGTTGTAATGGCCAAAGCTTAGTTTCCAGACTTGAAGTTAATATCTTACAGCATTATAGTTAAAATCTTGTCATCTCTGAGTACGGTGCATGTTTTAATCAGTATTCATTTAAGCTTCATTTGTTCATTGCCTGATTCTCCCCCTCCTTAACTGTTTTCTCTTTAAGCAGTTTTATTATGCTTTACTTATATGAGAAATTTCAAAACAAAATTATTTTTTGGTGGAGATTACTGTTAAACCTGAATCCTTTGATTTCTAAAAAGTTTTGAGATATAATTCATATACCATACAAACAGCCAATTTGAAGTGTATAATTCAGTGGCGTTTAGTGTGGTTCTTTAACCTTACCACAATCAATTTTAGAATATTTTATCACCCCCCAAAAGAAATGTACTCATTAGTAGTTATTCATCATTTCTTCCCAATTCCCCCAGTTGTAGGCAGTCCCGAATAGATTTGCCTTTTCTGAACATATTATATAAATGGAATCTTAAAATATCTGGTCCTTTTTAATATGGCTTTTTAAACTCCGCATGTTTTCAAGGTTCATCTGTTTTGTAGCATGTATCAGTACTTCATTCCTTTTTTATGGCTAATATTTTGAATGATTATAACACATTTTGTTTATCCATTCATTTTTTTTTAAGATGTTATTTATTTATTTGACAGAGATCACAAGTAGACAGAGAGAGAGAGAGGAGGAAGCAGGCTCCCTGCCGAGCAGAGAGCCCGATGCAGGGCTCGATCCCAGGACCCTGGGATCGTGACCTGAGCGGAAGGCAGAGGCTTTAACCCACTGAGCCACCCAGGCGCCCCTTATCCATTCATTTGATGGACATTTGGGGTGGTTTCCACTTTTTAAAGGACTTTTATAAATAATGTTGTAGTGACCATTTGTGTATAGGTTTTAATGTGAATATGTATTTTCAATTCATCCAAGTATATACCTGGGAGTGGAATTGCTGGGTCATATTACATATTATTGTGTTTCACTTTTTGAGGAATTGCCAAGCCATTTTCCTAAGCTGCTGTACCATTTTATATTCCCACTAGCAATATATAAGTGTTCCAGTTTCTCCACATCCTTGTTCACACTTGGTATCTGTCTTCTTGATTATAAATAACTAAGTGTGAAATTGTAACTCATTGTGGTTTTGATTTGCATTTTCCTGAGGGCTAATGATGTTGAACTTGATTTTTAAAAGAAAGCAGCCCTTTGATTTTATTGAGAATATAAAAATAGAAATGTTTGATAATTTCATGCACTTGCTTAGAGATCATTAGTTTTGCTGTATTTAAAATTTGTTCTTCTTTTTATCAGTTGTATTCCCTGAACGACTACAAACCACCCATTTCTAAAGCGAAAATGACCCAAATTACTAAGGCAGCCATCAAAGCTATTAAGGTGAGTAATAAATTTTATACTTCTGTTTTCAGAAGAAAATACTATACTAATATTTTAGAAGAAGGATGATTATTACAGGCTATACAGTTAACCATTGAACATTACAGATTTGGTCTGCATGGGTCCACTTACACATGAATTTTTTTGGATAAATTCAGTGCATTACTGTGAATATATATTTTCTTCCTTATGATTTTCTTAACAATGTATTGTCTCCAGCTTGCTTTGTTGTAAGAATGTAGTATTTAATACATATAACATAGAAAATATGTGTTAATTAACTTATCAGTATGGCTTCCAGTCAATAGTGGCTGATTTTGTGGATTGGCAGAAGTTACATGTGGATTTTCAACTGTGCAGGGAATTGGTTAAGGGTAAACTGTGTATTCTCTTACTCTTTGCAGAGTTAATACATATTCATGGGGAAAAACAAAAATGAAAATTAATGATCACCTATGAACTCTCCCATCTAGAGATAAACATTTAACACTTTTGGTAAATATTCTTCTATAAGCTTTGAAGCTATCATTTTTCTTTACTTAGGCAAGATTTTAGATAGAGCCACGTTGTGGAGACTGTGTTTGTTATTTGTCACACTGACTTTACAGAATCTTGGTAAAGGTTCCTAAATAAAAATTAATAGTTTTTTCCTTACTGATTCTATTGTAGATTTGAAAATGAGCCATTATGAAAAACAATTGAACCTCATTGTATATAGGACATTTAAGCTGTGGGAAGAGGCCATAGGTCTTTAGCCATTGCTTTGATACAGAGGTTTTGAACTAATCTATGTTGACTCACTGATCCTTCCGAAAATCTCAGAGAAGGCTTGAACTTTTCTGTAGAGAAATACACATGCACAGTTTTGCCCAAAATTTCTTGACTTTAAGGATCTTTTTTGAAGTTCAACCGTAAATACCTCTTTCTAAGTGGTCCTTGTCTGCAAAGCTAAGGCTCCCTGCTTTAGTAGGGCTGTTAGAATCAAGAATGAATGAGTGCTTATATTTAATTAAACAGGTTTTAACCTGTGGATATTTGGTAATATGTTTCCCTACTGTAAATAAGAGCATCAGCCATAACCAGAAGCACCAATTATTTAAATAAATAATCCTTAAATAATAACATTATCTATTAGATTTAACAAATTCTTATTTATGGAAAGAATTGTCACTAGGAGAAAATTCCGATAGTTGATTTTTCAGTGTTCTGGTGGCCAAAGCTTATTTGTCAGACCTGTAGTTAATTTCTTACAGCATTATAGTTAAAATTCCTGTATTTATATGCAGAAAATCAAAGAGGTGATAAGTGAAAAGTACAGTGACCAGTGAGCATTCAAGCGAGAGAATTCTTTAAAAAAGTGAATTTTCGGGTGTCTGATAGGCTTAGTATAGAATGTTTATTTAGTCTTTTGTGCTTTCTTTATCCTATTTTACATTGTGATCTGATTTTTATGATCGTGATTCTGAGAGTGTGCAAACGTGTATTACCATTTTTAGTCTGTGAAAATAATTGATGCATTTTATATAACTTGAGAATACTTCTAAAAAAATTTCTTTCATTATAGTTGATACATGGTGTTCTAGATTTAAGTGTACAGTATTAGTGATTCAGCCTCTCTATTCGTTATGCTGTGCTCACAAGGGTAGCTGTCATCTGTCACCATACATTGCTATTACAGTATCATTGATTATATTCCCAGTGCTATACCTTTTGTTCCCATGACTATTCATTTCATAACTGGAAGCCTGTATCTCCTCCCCTTAACCTATTTTCCCCATCTCTCCACTGCCCCCTTTCCCTCTGAGCAGAGTATTTTCTAATTAAAATGCTCTATAAAGTATTAACAGCAACATTACTCCTATTTTTCAGATGTGGGAAGGGTCTAAGAGAAAATAAGTAATTTGCAATAGTCAGAATAAATACAGCTAAATTTGAATCCAAGTTTCAATCAAGAGCCTGAACATTATGATATAGTGTACTATTTTGATTTATTGTTAACTGCTTTATATTTTTTAATTTTGAAAATTTAGACATGTTTCAAAATACTATAATGACCACCACATAGTCTTCCCTCAGATTTACCAGTTAACATTTTGCTACAATTTGGTTTATTTCTACACACACACACACACACACACACACACACACACACACACACATATTTTGTGGCTGAATCATTTGATAGTTTCAGATTTCATTCATAATAGCTCTTAATCCCTAGATACTTGAATTTGAATCTCTTAAGAACAAAGACATTTCCTAAGTAACTATATTGTACACTGACCACATGTAAGAAATTTCAGGATCCAGTAAGATCATATATTACATTTATTTGTCTTGTCACGCAGCCATACTCAGCCTTTGTTTTGTTTTTCATACCATTGATATTTTTGAAGAGTGTACCAATTGTTTTGCAGTATTGTATTATTTTAAACTGCATTTAGCACATGTGTAAATTGAGATTTGAGCTGCTTTTTTAAATCAGTTTTAAGTGATACTGTTTTATATTGAGGAAAGTCATTAATTTTTTTATCAGTGATTAGAGACATGATTATTTTAATGGGTGCTTGTTAAAACTGCACACTGTCAGCAAAATCTCACATAACAGCTGTTGGGGAAGAAGGCCTATGTGAATTGGTAAACTTTGAATTAAAGTTTAGTAAGCAGTTTTACTCAGAATTACATGTAGTAAAGTAGCTAGAAGCAAAGAGCACTGTCAAGATGTTTTCCAAAAGGATTTATTATTTAGTACAAATCACTCAGTGTGTAATTAATATTTTGTATGTTGCTTTTAAATGTTTAAGGTAATGCTTACTTCTAAGTAGTTGTTTTGGCTTTTTTATTTAAGTGACTTACACTGTTGAGTAAACTGTTTTTATAGTATGAAAATTATACCCAAGCTTAAACTTGTACATTTTGACTTGATGACTATGAGTAATGAGGTTTTCCTTTCTTTTTGATTTTTGGATTTCTTGATGCAGTTCAAAGGAATGTTCATGTGTCTCTTCAGTCTAAGGGGAGATCCCTTAAAAGTATAATTCCTGGGATCAAAAGTATAAGTAGAAGCACAATTTAAGTTCTTTAAACACATATGCTAATTATGCAGTTGCCATTAAGATATTAAAATTTATTAAGCACAAATTTTAGATATCTTTTGTTCAATTTATAATTTTTTTAATCTGTAATTGCTAATTTGTTCCTTTTTAGGTTTATTCATAGTGTTGTTTCTAAAACTTACACCTGTTTTCTTATAATTGATAGCAGCCTATTACTCATTTTTAATATGTATATTCACTTCACTTCTGTTGATTTGTTTTAGCTAATCCATGAGAACTTTATACATCTCTGTATCTTATTATATATACTTGTTCCACTTTCCAGCAGAAACGAGATAATGGAGTTCAAAACAACTCCCTTGCATATGTTTATTAATGCTATTTTTTGAGTTATTTGATATTTCTAGTATTACCCTACTTTAATGATACCCTTGGAAATCTTTTCCTTCCATGAAAGGAAGAATATGCATCTGCCAGTGTGCTTGTTACAGGTACTTCGCTGTCAACCTAACAGTATGCGAAAGTATGGTTTTATAAGGACTGTGATAAAATTCTTTTGTATTTCATAACACACTTTGGATATACAGTTTGCCCTTCCTTGAACATCGTGTTGTTTGGGGTGCTGATCTCTGTGCAGTCAAGAATCTATGTACAACTTTGGACTCCCCTAAAACTTAATTACTGATAGCCTACTGTTGTCCAGTAACCTTACCTATAATATAAACAGTCGATTAACATCTAGTTTGTATGTTATATGTAATATATACAGCATTTTTATAATCAAGTGAGTCAGAGAAAATAGTGTTATTAAGATTATCATAAGGAAGAGAAAATACATTTACAGTATTGTACTTTGTTTATTGAAAAAAAATCAGCATATAAGTGGACCCACATAGTTCAAACCTATGTTCAGTACTCAGTTGTACTGACCATATATGCACGTCAAGAAACTTTTACTAATTAGGTATCATAGTTAATTGCTTATGAAGGTGAGTGACCTGTTGGTCTCAAAATTCATGATTAAAATTCATTGTTTTGATAGACCTTTGAAACAATGTTAAACCTATGCTTAATGGAAAAACTCAGACCTAATTGAACAGATTTTAAAACTACACTTCATGTTTTTTTTTTTAGTTCTATAAACATGTGGTACAGAGCGTTGAGAAATTCATTCAGAAAGTAAGTATAATTTTCAATATGTACACTAAATGTACTATAATTATAGATAAATGCCTTGTGCTCTATTCTTTTAAATCAACTACTCAGGTTTTGTTTTTGATGGACTGTTCAAAAGTGATTCCATTTATTTTATTTTCTAATTAAGAAATAAGGTGCCTGGGTCGCTCAGTCGGTTAAGGGTCTAACTCTTGATCTTAGCTCAGGTCTTGATGTCAGGGTTTAATTCCCCCATGCTAGGCTCCACCAGTGTGGAGCCTACTTAAGTAAGTAAATAAGTAAATGAAATGATAGTGCTTTTTGGATAATTCTGAAAACAATAACTTTCATTCAGGTAGATGTTCTTGTTAATTTGCAGTGCCATAGTGAGCATCTGTCCCCTGAAAAAAATGGTGTACATATGAATTTTTAAAGTATGTTAATTCTCACTTGTCATTTCAAGCAAAATGCCTAGAGAGCAGCTCTTCTTTTAGATAAAGTGTGGATAAGACATTGCCTACCCGCTACTTCTCTTCTGCTGATTCATTTTGTCTCATCCATTAAGACATTATACATCTCAGCATCTTATTTTATAGACCCGAAGTTCCATTGTCTAGGATAAGTGAGAGTAATGAAGTTGAAAACAGCTAGCTGTCTTATACACATTTGATAATACTTTGTGTAAGCAGAGTCCAAGGTGACTAGATTATAGTTTTTTGCTCTCCTGGTGATCAGTGCCCTATTCATGCCACATTTTTTGGCAGGAGTGCACACAGCTTAAAACTTACAAAATGATACTATATTTGTACTTTACTGTAACTGAATTTAGGTTTTGTACTCTGACCATGTTCATGTTCCTGGATGTAACCAGTACCAGTTTGAGAATCAGTGGTATATGGCATTTAAGGATTCAGGAAGATTGCAGTGTTTTTTAAAAATAGTTGACAAGAAGGAAGGGTATGTGAATCAGTCAGTTGACTGTGTCATGTCGGTAACCTTGAGTAAATCAATTTCGTTAATCTTTCTGTGATTCAGCTTTTTTCTGAAGTCTTGGTGTCTTAGTACTTAGAGTATTAGTAAAACAACTAGTGAGTTTTGAGTTTTTGAGTTGAACAACTAGTGAATTGAGGCTGAGATGCAAAGTAAAATAAAATAATAAGTATGCTGTTTTAGGTAAATCACAGTATAATAGAAATGTTGGTGATTGGAAAATTTCATTGTTCTAAAACTTTTAAAAGTTATTTTAAAAAGTTTCGAATGTCTAAAGCAGTGCATCTTAAACTTTTTTGTGCAGTGGAGTTACCTAGGGATCTTGTTAAAATTCAGATTCTGAATTCACTAAGTGTGTCAAGGGTCTGAGAGTCTGCATTTCTACCTGTTCTTAGAGGATACTTCAGCTGTTAGTTTAGAAACCACAATTTGAATAGTAAGGGTTTAAGGGATAAACATGAATTTACCAGTAAATGTTTTTTACTGATTTTTATTTAGAGCAGGGGTACTTTTAATAAGATATTTCAGAAACTTAAACCTTGGGTGAGCAGAATTCTCTCCATTGTGAGATAATTGTAGAATCAGTCTGGAAAAGCAAGTCGGTATTGCGGGGGTGGGGAGATGAAGTTAAAAAAGGTGGAATTTTATCTCTCTTTATAAGACATTCCAAGGTATAACATTCCACATAGAAATAAGAAACCTGTTGAAAGGAGAATCCTCATACAGTATGTACAGTTCGGAACTGTTCAAATATAGTCATTATATGAAGTGCTCCAGTGGCCATATTTTAAATAGAGTTCTTAGTAGAGACAGTAAGACAAACTTAAACCTAACATAGTATGAACAACTTTATGCCTTGCCCGTGCAGTCTGAAAGTTAGAAGTCCTAGGCATGCCATCCTCTGTTTAGAATGTATAATCTTCAGAGGTAATTTCTGGCACAATATTTTGATCTTTCTCTTAAGAGAAATACTTCTCAGTCAGGTTTAGAGAAGCTTTGTATAGAGTCTCGTTTTCATGGTCTTATGGAGTTTCACTTTTGTCTAGCCCTCCACATTCTTCGGTCATTATATACTGAGTTCTAAGTTTCACCTAGTTTCTCCACAGCCTAAAAGAGGTTTGAAATGGTATCTTTCATCGTTAAGAGGTTCATCCACATTTCTGTTATGTCATAGTGAATGAGGTAAACGATCTATACGGCTCTTCCATCATCTGTACAGTTGGTCACAGTCCAACAGCTTACTGTTGTACCTTAAAGTCTGCCTTAGAAGGATACCTTGCTGGCTCAGTCAGTAGAGCATGAGACTTTTGATCTTAAAGCCTCACTTAGAACCAAAGAGGAATGACATTGCCAGTCAGTGTCTGGGCAGAAATTTGAATACTTTACCCCTACCCTGTTTAAAACAGAAATTCAGCAGTGGGTTAGTTAATGGTAAATTGAGTTGCGTGAGTGCATTTTTAAGCTATTTTGTGAAAATTGCAGATTCATGTGTCATTTAATCAATAGATGATGCTTGCATTAGATTACAGTAAAGAGAGATCCCATATACTCTTCACCCAGGTTCCCCCAATGGTAATGTCTTGATAACATAAGTACTACAACCAGGACATTCATATAGTCCACCAAACTCAGATTTTACCAGTTTTACATGCACTCATTTGTGTGTATGTATATTTAGTTCTGTGCAATTTCATCGCATGTATTGATTCATAAAACCAGCACTGTAGTCAGGATATAACATAGTTCATCACCCCAAGGAGCCATCATGTTCCTTCTCCTTTTTATAGAGCCACCTTCTACTCTCTTCCTCGCCCCCCCGCCAGCTCCTGAGGGCATTAGTCTGTTCTCTAATTTGCCATTTCAAGAATGTTATATGTAAATATAGACTTTTGAAATGGGCTTGTTTTGTCAGTATAATTTTATTTAGATCCATCCAAATTGTGCATGTGTCTAATGGCTCCTTCATTTTTAAGTGATGTTCCATTGGTATGGATGTACCACAGTTTATCTAGCCATTCACCCATTGAAAGCCATCTAAATCATTTCCATTTGGGGGGAGCTTTTATTAATAAAGCTGCCAGGAACATTTGTCTGTGGATTTTTGTGTGAATAAAAGTTTCCATTTCTCTGGGAACGTAAGTACATGTTGTTTCATAAGAAACTGCCACTCTTTCCTAGAATGGTTGTACCATTTTACATTCCCACCAACAGTGTATGATTGATCCAGTTTCCACATTCTTTGCCATCATTTGGTGTTACCACTTTAGCTATTCTAATAAATGTATAGTAGTGTCTCATTGTGTTTTAATTTGCATTTACCTAATGCCTGATGATGCTGAACATGTTTTCACATGCTTCTTTGACATTTTCAGTGAAATGTCTCTTCATATTTTTGTTCATTTTCTAATTGGGTGGTTTTTTACTGTCAAGTTTTCAGAGTTCTTAATAATATTCTAGATGTAAGTCCTTTGTCAGAGAGATGGTTTGTAAATATTTTTTTCTTAGTTGGTAGCTTGTCCTTTCTTTCTTTTAACACAAGATCCAAGGTCTTTTGCAGAACAAAGATTTTATTTTAGTGTTGATGAAGTTCCAGATTGTACATAGTTTTTTTAATACCAGAGGAAACCTTTTTTTTCCTCTTTCCTAGTCTCACTGGAACTTTACTGTGGGCGGGGTGGAGGGGGGCAGATAAAACACTAGTAAAAATGCTGCAGTACTGATGATGGTAGGGAACCAGAAGCCCACTCCACCTATTTTGTTTTTTGCCCCATAACCCTTGACACCCTTGCATAGATGCTTTGTTTCTGTGGAACCTAATTTGTAAAACCCCTGAATTAGAGTATTGTTTGTAGTAGGAAATACTGTTTTAACAAATTTATGAAAAAGTCTGTTTGTCATGTACATTATATGTAGTCAATTGAAAGATCTAAGAAAAATGTGAAGGATTATTTAATGATGTTGGCTTATAATTTTGGGTATCCTCTAGTCCCAGAACACCATATATTAGCTTGTCTATACTTTTCCTTCACCCATCATAGACAAATAGTGCAAAAAGAGGAGAAATATTGTAGCACTTTGGTACTGTGTTATTTGTGAGTCTGTGTTTAGCATGAGAGATTTATGGAGGAATGAATGAGAGTAATAAATGAAAAGGTAAATTAATAGTGGAAGATGATTTCCCATAGGTGAGGAAAATTGCTTGAAAGGTTACTCTGGCTTCTTGCTTCTGGTGTGGGGTATGCAAAGATTTAGGTAGTTGGCCACAGATAGTTTAAAAACAGTAAATTTTCAGATTCTCACTTGCCTTATGTACTTCTTACTAAACTCTGCTCTGGGGTATTTTTGATCAGTTCTTCATCCCATATACCTTAAATTGACACTTTAAATGTATCTTGAGCTTTTCATTGTTAGGCATTAAGAGAAGGTTTTGTCTGTTGTGTTTTAAGAACTCAAGGAAGTTTATATAAATGTTTCTTTTTATATGAAATGTTTGTACATGTATACAGAAAAGTGCGGAAGACATAATATGCATAGCTTAATTTTTTAAAGTTACCTGTATAACCACCACTCAGTGCAAGACATGGAACTTTGACTGAAGTCTCCCAGGTTCCTCTCCTTGATCATACCCCTCCCCAAGTAATACACAGTCTGAGTTTTATGTTAGTCGCGTTCTTGTTTGACATAGTATTACTCTTTAAGTCTGCATTCTTAAAGCAGTTCAACCTGATTTTCAGTTTTGCATAAATGGAATCCTTGTTACATATTCTTTAGTGTACAGTTGTTTTTACTCAGTATTACATGTTTAGGATTCATTCCTGTTGATTATAAAAGTATTTGTTTCTTTTCATTGGTATATATTCCGTTATGTGAATAACTGCTGCTTATCTGTTCTGTTGATAGACATTGTGTGTGTGTGTGTGTTTGTATGTTTTCCAGTTTTTGGAGTTATGAATACACTTACATATTTATCCTGGTGTGGTTTCTATTTCTGTGGGTAGTAGGATATGTATTTCTTTAAGTTGGCTAGATAATTCCAAATAAATTTCGTAATGGTTGTACTAATCATACTCCCACTCTCATTCAGTGTGTGTTTGTGTTGCTCCCATCTTTACCCACACTTAATATTGTTAGACTCTAATCTATTAAGTCTTAGTTAAAGATTATTTTTAAAAAATACTATCCTCATTTCACCTTTACTTAAGGAGTTAAATTCCAGCCAGCTTTATATCTTCTTTGTCAGAATGTTTTTTAGATTCTTAAGGACTCATCAAATAGAATGAATTTCTTTAGTCAAAGAGCAAAATGACCTTTTATCAAACCGAAAAATATTAGGTTATTATTAGTTACAAACTGTTATTACTTTTCTTCAGTTTCAGTATTATCACATCAAGGTTAATCTGAAATATTTTACTAAGCTGTACATTAAATTTGGATTTGTTTAGATTTGTTTCATCAGGAACTGGGATAATACTTTTTTTTCTTCCTTGTCATCTCCCTTCTATAGTTATATCATGATACATTATGTCAGTGAAGTATCAAAGCCCTGTCCACCTCTTGCTTCCTTGCTTGGGTGCCCACAACCCTCTAAGTATAAAGAGGGAAGGAGTTAGTGATTCCCTGTCATCCCTTTCAGCTTCACACTTTTAGGAAAGCTTGAATCATCAGAAGTCTTGAAAACAACACAAAAACAGTATGTTTGCCATCTTAAAAGAAAAATACCACTTAGTCTTTCCACTTATTTTGTAGCTCTAAGTTCTATAGTTAAATGTGATTTCCTTAAGTAACACGTAGATACAGGTTCAGAGTCAGTAGTGAAGATCTCGCAGGCTCAATTAAGGGTATTGTATGTGTTTAGTTCTTGTTGAACCTTCCTTCCTGATCTGTATACCTTTATTTCCTTGTCTTGTCTTGTTGCGTTATCTAGGACTTCCAGTATGATGTTGAAAAGCAGTGGTGGGGGGCAATCCATTCCTGGTTGTCACCCGTACTTAGTGGGACAGCTTTCAGTTTGTCATCAGTGAGTGTGACGTCAGGTTTATAAAGCCTGTACCTCTGGACCGTGGCCTTACACATGCTTCTCAGTGTTTCTTGCTCCTCCTTAGGCAGGACAGGACGGCTGCATTTTCTTTACACTAGGTCAGTGAGGCTATTGTCAGTACCATTCAGCGCTTTGCAAGTACAGTCACATGCTCCTGTATTTACCATTGTAGCTCTACTTCCTTTAATGTTAACTTTTGTATTTTTTTGTGAGAGAGAGGGAGCGAGAACAAGTACTCCAGAATGCGCGAGCAGGGGTGTAGGGACAGAAGGAGAGGGAGAAAGAGAATCTTAAGCAGGCTCCATGCCCACTGCCGAGTCCCTCGATCTCACAACCCTGAGATCATGACCTGAGCTGAAATCAAGAGTTGGATGCCCAACTAACCGAGCCACCCAGGTGTCCCTAATGTTAACTTTTAGAGCAGAAAGTGGCAGCGAAAATTCTAATAACAAAATCATTATATAAGGTGTGTTTATAAATTGCAAAGTATGTGGTCCAGGTCACCTAGAGAGGTTTTTTTGCCAAAAAACTCTTGACTTCTAATGGTGTTCATGTAATAGCTTGAATAACCTTAGAATGAAAATCACATAATATGTTTAAAAGTGGATTCTCCCTATGTTATTGACTTTCTCTCTACAAAACTGTTTCTGCAGTAGAAGAAATTGAAAATTACTAGGATGTAGTTTAAAGATGATATTAACTGAAAACTTAATATGACATGACTTTATTATTATTATTTAAAGAGTAAAAATTCCTCATACCAGTGGAGAGTCCTAGGGATTCTTGTATATTCAGTACTGATAGAACTTGAAGAGGAAATTGAAGAAACATTTCAGGTTCTTGGTCTTAATTTTTCCTTAAGTTTCTAGTTGGTGACTCAGCTAAGTTTACCAATTACTAAGTTATTTTAAAACATGAAGTCATACTTAAGATTTTTCCCCCCATTCTATGTGGCAAAAATGCCTACTCTACAAGTGAGGGAAAATCGTTCTACACATCTTAATATAGGTATATCTGAAGATACTGTGGATGAAGAAATTTTTTTTCCTCCCTTAGGCCTTATAGTTTATCACTAAACTGCTAATATATGTTTGAAGCTTTCAGAATCTTTACAGTAGGCCCCAAAAGGTCCATTTATTATTTTGTGCACTCATGATTCTTCTGTGTTGTGAGTTTGTAACCTGAGTTTTTGTTATAAATCAGTGAGAAGGATGTATTTTTTTTAAATTTAGTACATTCATCACTTACCATTCAGTATTTTTTAAAAGATTTGAAAGCGAGAAAGCATGGGGGAGGGGAGCAGAGGGAAAGGGAGAGAGAATCTCAGGCAGACACCCTGCTGAGTGCAAAGCCTCACCCAGAGCTTAATCTCAGAACCCTAGGTCGCAACCTGAGCTAAAATCAAGAGTTGGACACTTAATTGACTGTGCCACCCAGGCGCCCCTCAATATTAATTTTTAAAGCTCTTATAAGCAATTTAAAAATCCTGTTGATTCTCGGTCTCAAGGTAATCATGTATATGAAATAATTTATGTCCATTTTTTTTGTCTTTGGCAAAATTAAGATGCCAGTAAATCAGGTCAATCAATAAATATTAATCACTTATCTATATTTGTGGCATTAGGGACTAGATAAATTTTAACAAAGTTGATGTCCTGCTTTTCATTAAATTTTAAGTTTTCTTTACTGAGATAAATTATTTGCTCAGTTAGGTTGATATTTCTTTGAATGTATGGTAGTCAAAGGAAGATAACCTTGGCCAGATACATGAACTGAAGGATGAATATGCTAGATGTTTTAGGAACATGAGGGAAAACTATTTCAGGCATTCAAGAGCCATAACTTACAACAGAGCAGATATTTTGAACCTTTAGGTAGGTTAAACTTAAAACTTCAGTATCCAAACACCAGCATTATTGCCCTCTTACGAAATATTTCAGGTTTTTAACAGTCAGAGTGTTATAATAGATACTTGTGAATTGATGCTAAAGGTCTTTGTATTTTCTTGATGTAAGTAAAAATCTAAGGATAAGGTTCTTAAGTATTTGAAGAAACAGATGAAGTATAGTAGATGAACATCATCTTGTCTTTTTGCAGAATGAAATCACTCATTGTCTCAGGCAAAATTGCCATTAGAAACATGTATGTGTGTGTTAGGGGTAGATTGAGGATCCTGTTCTCACTGGTACTCGGGTTTCCAAGGATTTTTCAAGAATATAATTGTGCTTTAGTGCCATATGTGATTTCTAGGAAATTACTTTGGGTGAGATACTTAGCTAATTACACCCAAAAGTTGAAGCTGCTTTTTGCAGCTATAATTTCATGTTAATTAACATAAACTTGGAAAGCAGGTTTCTTACACTTCTGGATATGGTGACAAACCAGGAGCAGTAACCTTGATACTAAAAGGATTCTTCATTATGCTTCCCTAACCAGATAGGCTAGAAGAAAAGCTTGTGGCAAGAAAGTAGGAGGTATTTTCCTCAATTTGGGTGGTGGATAAGAAGGTTGAGAAACATTTATCAGTGGAGTAGCTAAAAAATAGGATAGATTCCTGGAATCATAATGGTTGTGTCTTATCTTTCTTATAGATGGGGTATTTGAGGAAACTTTTGAAACTCTGGGCTCGGTATATTTAGAATATTACAGTGTTCCTCATTAGTACAGAAAACTTTTTGTAAAAGGTTTTCAGATGATTTCTAATGAGTATGTTGGCAATGCTTTTTCTAGAGCCCTTTCCTGAATTTGTTGTTTTCCTTGTCTGTGACATTTCAAAGTCATTAAACAATTTTTTTAGGGGGGTGGTTATAACGGTACCTTATTTATCCTTTTGGCTTTTGTCACTCAAGCCAGTTATGCAATACTGTTTTGGAACGTAGGTGATTGGCAGTTGAATTGGGTGAATGGAACAGCCAAAGTAGATTAAAATGCCATTCCAGAGACAGATGTCTGAACATTCATTACGTCTACATAAGCATTGTTTTTGTATTTGTATAGGATTTATAATAAATGCTGCCTTCTCATTCCTTCCCTTCCTATTCTTTGTTCCATCAGTGTAAACCAGAATACAAGGTACCTGGACTTTATGTTATTGACTCCATTGTACGACAATCTCGACATCAGTTTGGTCAAGAAAAGGATGTGTTTGCACCCAGATTTAGTAATAACATCATTAGCACTTTCCAGAATTTATATCGTTGCCCTGGGGATGACAAGGTATGCTGGCTTTTTTTTTTTTTTTTAAAGTTGATATATTACCCTTTGCTCTTAATGAGACTAGTTTATCTTAACTATGATTTTATGTTACTATTTCCTCCTAGTAATTCTGAATTTGAATATTTAGTTATTACACTATCCACATTCTGAGATTCTTAGCATCTTAAACAAAAAATGGAGAGATGTAGTTGATTTGGCTGTTTTTTTAATTTATTGAAGCAATTGGTGATAAAGAAACTGGCTATAAATAAGCTTTTGAAATTAGACTGAAAGCTTATTTATTCTCACACGGAACTAATTTCGTGCTTTGATTATTTGAACTGATATTTACCTATTTAGTGTCTATGGAAAATGGATTTGCTAAGCAGTTAGCAGAAAATAACTGCATTTTATTTCATTTTTTAATTTTTAAAATTCTAACCTTTATTTCATTTTTTTTACAACATGCATTTATTGAACCCCTTCTGTATATTAGGCATTCTTTAAAGGAATTCATAGTCACACAGTAAATTTTTTTTAATTAACGTATAATGTTACAGGGTTACAGGTCTGTGAATCATCGGTCTTACACAGTTCACAGCACTCACCATACCATATACCCTCACCAGTGTCTATCACCCAGCCATCCTAGGCAACCCTTAGTTTGTTTCTTGAGATTAAGAGTCTCTTACGGTTTGTCTCCCTCCCTGGTCCCATCTTGTTTCATTTTTCCTTCCCTTCTCCCCATTGACCCCCATCCTGCCTCTCAAATTCCTCATATAAGAGAGATCATAATAATTGTCTTTCTCTGACTGACTTATTTCACTTAGCACAATACCCTCTAGTTCCATTCAAATTATAGCAAATGGCAAGATTTGGGGGTTTTGATGGCTGCATAGTATTACACACACACACACACACACACACACACACACCATATCTTCTTTATTCATTCATCTGTTGATGGACATCTAGGTTCTTTCCATAGTTTGGCTATTGTGAGCATTGCTGCTATAAACATTTGGGTGCATGTGCCCCTTTGGGTCAGTACATTTGTATCTTTAGAGTAAATACCGAGTAGTACAATTGCTGGGTAATAGGGTAGCTCTATTTTCAAGTTTTTGAGGAACCTCCATACTGTTTACTAGAGTGGCTGCACCAGCTTGCATCCCACCCAACAATGTAGGAGGGTTCCCCTTTCTCTGTATCCTTGCCAACACTTGTCATTTCCTGACGGGTTAATTTTAGCCATTCTGACTGGTATGAGGTGGTATCTCCCTCTGGTTTTGATTCATTTGGTTCTGTTCTTTGCAGAAATGTCTGTTCATGTCTTCTGCCCATTTCTTGATTGGATTATTTGTTCTTTGGGTATTGAGTTTGTTAAATTCTTTATCAATTTTGAATACTGGCCTTTTATCTGATATGTCATTTGCAAATACCTTTTCCCATTCTGTCAGTTGTCTTTTGGTTTTGTTGACAGTTTGCTTTGCTGTGCAAAAGCTTTTGCTCTTGATGAAGTCCCAGTAGTTCATTTTTGCCCTTGCTTCCCTTGCCTTTGGTGACGTTTGTAGGAAGAAGTTGCTGCGGCTGAGGTCAAAGAGATTGCTGCCTGTGTTCTTCTCAAGGTTTTTGATAGATTCCTGTTTTACACTGAGGTCTTGCATCATTTTGAGTCTGTATTTGTATGTGGTGTAAGGAAATGGTCCAGTTTCACTCTTCTGCATGTAGCTGTCCAGTTTTCCCAACACCATTTGTTGAAGAGACTTTTTTTTTCCCCCATTGGACATTATTTCCTGCTTTGTCGAAGATTAGTTGACCATAGCGTTGAGGGTCCATTTCTGGGCTCTATTCTGATCTGTTGATCTATGTCTGTTTTTCTGCCAATACCATACTGTCTTGGTGATTGTAGCTTTGTAGTAGAGCTTGAAGTCTGGAACTGTGATGCCGCCAACTTTGGCTTTCTCTTTCAACATTCCTCTGGCTATTTGGGGTCTTTTCTGGTTCCATATAAATTTTAGGATTATTTGTTCCATTTCTTTGAAAAAAGTTGATAGTATTTTGATAGGGATTGCATTAAATGTGTAGATTGCTCTGGGTAGCATAGACATTTTCACAATATTTTTTCTTCCAAGCCATGAGCATGGAACATTTTTCCATTTCTTTGTGTCTTCCTCAATTTCTTTTATGAGTACTTTACAGTTTTCTGAGTACAGAGTCTTTGCCTCTTTGGTTAAGTTTATCCCTAGGTATCTTACGGTTTGGGGTGCAATTGTAAATGGGATTGACACCTTAATTTCTCTGTCTTCTGTCTTGCTGTTGGTGTACAGAAATGTAACTGATTTCTTTGCATTGATTTTATATCCTGACACTTTACTGAATTTCTGTAAGAGTTTTAGCAGTTTTGGAGTGGAGTCTTCTGGGTTTTCCACACAAAGTATCTTATCATCTGCAAAGAGTGAGAGTTTGGCTTCTTCGTTGCCAATTCAGATGCCTTTTATTTCTTTTTGTTGTCTGATAGCTGAGGCTAGGACTTCTAGTACTATGTTGAATAGCAGTGGTGATAGTGGACATCCCTGCCATGTTCCTGACCTTAGGGGAAAAGCTCTCAGTTTTTCCCCATTGAGAATGATATTCACTGTGGCTTTTTCATAGATGGCTTTGTTGATATTGAGGTATGTACTCTCTATCCCTACACTTTGAAGAGTTCTGATCAAGAAAGGATGCTGTCTTTTGTCAAATGCTTTTTCAGCATCTATTGAGAGTATATGGTTTTTGTCTTTCTTTTATTAATGTATTGTATCACATTGATTGATTTGCGGATGTTGAACCAACCTTGAAGCCCAGGAATAAATCCCACTTGGTCGTGGTGAATAATCCTTTTAATGTACTGTTGGATCCTCTTGGCTAGCATTTTGGTGAGAATTTTTGCATCCATGTTCATCAAGGATATTGCTCTGTAATTCTCCTTTTTGATGGGGTCTTTGTCTGGTTTTGGGATCAAGGTAATGCTGGCCTCATAAAATAAATTTGGAAGTTTTCCTTCCATTTTAATTTTTTTGGAACAGTTTCAGGAGAATAGGTATTAATTCTTCTTTAAAAATTCCTCTTGGAAGCTCATCTGGCCCTGGTGTCTTGTTTGTTGGGATATTTTTGATGACTGCTTCAATCTCCTTACTGGTTATGGGTCTGTTCAGGTTTTTTATTTCTTCCTGGTTCAGTTTGGTAGTTTGTATGTCTCTAGGAATGCATCCATTCCTTCCAGATTGTCAAATTAGCTGGTGTATAGTTGCTTGTAATATATTCTTATAATTGTTTGTATTTCTTTGGTGTTGGTTGTGATCTCTCCTCTTTCATTCATGATTTTATTAATTTAGGTCCTTTCTCTTTTCTTTATGATAAGTCTGGCCAGGGGTTTATCAATCTTCTTAATTCTTTCAGAGAACCAGCTCCTAGTTTCGTTGATCTGTTCTACTATTCATTTTGTTTCTATTTCATTGATTTCTGCTCTGATACTTACTATTTTTCTTCTTCTGCTGGGTTTAGGTTTTATTTGCTGTTCTTTCTCCAGCTCCTTTAGGTGTAGGGTTAGGTTATGTATTTGAGACCTTTCTTGTTTCTTGAGAAAGGCTTGTATTGCTATATACTTTCCTCTCAGGACCGTCTTTGCTGTTTCCCAAAGATTTTGAACAGTTGTGTTCTCATTTTCATTTGTTTCCATGAATATTTTAAGTTCTTCTTTAATTTCCTGGTTGACCCATTCATTCTTTACTAGGATGCTCTTTAGCCTCCATGTATTTGAGTTCTTTCCGACTTTCCTCTTGTGGTTGAGTTCTGGTTTTAAAGCATTGTGGTCTGAAAATATGCAGGGAATGATCCCAATCTTTTGGTACCGTTTGAGACCTGATTTGTGACCCAAGATGTGATCTATTCTGGAGAATGTTCCATGTACACTAGAGAAGAATGTGTATTCTGTTGGTTTGGGATGGAATATTCTGAATATATCTCTGATGTCCCATCTGGTCCAATGTGTCATTTAAAGCCTTTGTTTCCTTGTTGATCTTTTCTTAAATGATCTGTCCATTTCAGTGAGGGGGGTTTTAAAATCCCCTACTATTATTGTATTATTGTTAATGTGTTTCTTTGATTTTTGTTATTAATTGGTTTATATAATTGGCTGCTATCGTGTTAGGGGCATAGATATTTACAATTGTTAGAGCTTCTTTTTGGACAGACCTTTAAAGTAGATACAGTGTCCTTCCTCATCTCTTATTATAGGCTTTGGCTTAAAATCCAATTTGTCTGATACAAGGATTGCCACCTCAGCTTTCTTTTGATGTCCATTAGCATGGTAAATTGTTTTCCACCCCCTCACTTTAAATCTGGAGGTGCCTTTGGGTCTAAAATGAGTTTCTGCATTTTAAAATTCTTTTATTGTGGTAGAGTTTTAGTAGTGCGGGTAACCACACTAGTAAGTCTTCTAGATCTGAATGAATAAATATTCTGTACCATGTAAAAAGACTTTGGACCCTGAAAGAGAATAAAAAAGGTTTCTTTATATATGCTCAAAGATATTAGAAATTTACATATTTTGGGATACTGATTTGGAAATTTTGTTTACTCCTCTCATAGGATCGAGTGCAATAATAAAGTTTTAAAAAGTCATGTTAGGGGCTGCCTGGGTGGCTCAGTCAGCTGAACTGAAGCAGCTGCCTTCATTCAGTTCGGTTTTGATCCCTGGGTCCTGGAATCGAGCCCTGCATCGGGTTCCCTGCTCAGTGGAGACCCTCTTTTCTCCCTCTCCCTCTACCTACTGCTCTGCCTACTTGTGCTCTCTATCTCTCTAATAAATAAATAAAATCTTTAAAAAAAAAGTCATATTAGATAAGGACTTTGTCTTGAAGTTTGTTATTTGTTTAAAACATGAAGTTAAAATCACCTGACAGTATAGCTTTGGTGCTGAGGTAAATCCTGATCACCTCAGCAGCTTATACAGTCTGCAGGCAGACCTCTCCGTCGATCTCATTAGACCTCACATAGAAGCTGAAACCTAGTTGCCGTTCCTTTCTTCTATGAAATGTAGCTCTCATTTATCTTGTGTATTTATCAAAATGAACATTTTTCTTTCAAGTGTATTAAGATTAGCAAATCAGAATTACAGAAACATGATTTCAGGGGCGGGAAGTACTACAGTAAAAGTATTTTAATCTATCCTTCCCATCCACTGTTTGAATAGTCTCTGTGAAATGACTGTGCTGTTTTGCAAGCAAAAAAATCAAAGTGTCATTTTTCTTTTTTTCTTCTAGAGTAAAATAGTGAGAGTATTAAACTTATGGCAGAAGAATAATGTGTTTAAGAGTGAGATTATTCAGCCTCTTTTGGACATGGCAGCAGGGATTCCTCCCCCGGTTGTCACACCTGTTTTGGCCAGTACTACTGCTGCTATGAGCAACACCCCAGGTATGTTACCTTGATAGAGATTTGTTTTCTAAATATTCTCCCCCCCCCTCCCCACCCGGTGATTATTCATTTATAAAGTAACAATTTGACAGTGTAGGAGAATATATCTAGCATTAAGTAATTGAAAGGAAATGTAATTTGAAGGAAAAATAAACTGAGAATTTATATTTGTGTATAATTCTTTTCTAAAAATTAAAAAGCTGAATATTTGAAATCCTAGAACCATAAATATAGTGACCTTTGGGAAAATGGTATGTCACTTATGTTTTTTCCTGGTTTAGGCTGTCCATAAACTTGCATGTAAATCAAATTGTAGTATAGTAGGGGAACTTAATATTTATAAGGAACTCTGAAAAAAATTATCTACTGGAGCCAAGAATTCTTTAGTAATAATCTCAAAATCTTGCTTTTTAAAGTTTATTTAAATGACATTTTAGAATTTGTACCATAGTTCAGGAATTAACATTTGGTATATATTTAGTTTTTGTTGTGTTTGTCTGTGTCTGTACACATACACATCCATTTTTAAAGAAAAATAGTTTTATATTATACATATTATTTTCTGATAAATTTGATTATATTTTTAACATTTCCTCATGTCCTTCAATTTTCTTCTGTAGTAAGATTTTTAAAGATTTCTAAGTATTGTAGGCTTCTTTAAAGTAGTAGTTTAGTTAATGAGGACAAGTGTGGACAGATCCTTTTGGTGTTTTTTTTTTTTTTTTCCCAATCTATCTAAGTCTGTAATTAGACAATAAAATAAAAACATCTAAATTTATATATATTTTATGAAAGTGTCAAAGCAAATCTCTCTACCTTTCCAAGTCTTACTTTTATTTACTTACGTATTTATTTGGGTGGGTGTGATGTCTTATTAAAAGGAACTCCTGTGACACCTGTTACTCCAGCCAATGTGGTCCAGGGTCTGCCGGATCCGTGGGTGTCTCAGATAACAAACACAGATACACTTGCAGCAGTAGCTCAAATCTTACAAAGTCCTCAAGGCCAACAGGTGAGCAGTTTTTTTTGTTAAATCAACAGTGATTTAGAACTCATTATTTTCTTAATGTATTTTTTTAATATTGTACCACCTTAAGAATATGTTATTTCTGTAAAAATGATATCACACTATGGATACTACTCTGTAACTTGCTTTTTCATTTAGTAAGGCATTGTTTTATGCACTTTTTTTTTTTTTAGATTTTATTTTTTTATTTCACAGAGAGAGACATCACAAGTAGGCAGGCAGAGAGAGAGGGGGAAGCAGGCCCCCTGCTGAGCAGAGAGCCTGATGTGGGGCTCGACCCCAGGACCCTGAGATCATGACCTGAGCCAAAGGCAGAGGCTTAACCCACTGATCCACCCAGGCGCCCCTATGCACTGTTTTATAAAAACTTCATTTCATACCAAAATATTGACTTAGTACATAATTTGTGCAAACATTATTAGGTGTTACTCCAGTAACAAGACAGGGATGTCCTCTCTCCTAGGAAAGATGTCTTTCCATGTTAGGGGAGAAAAATATAAGAAAGTATAAAACTTTGTTTAGATGGTGATACATGACTTAAAACAGGGTAAGTTTTTAAAGTGACTGGGTTTGGGAAAAGGGGTCAGATTAGAGAGGGTTGCCAAGAGAAGGTGTTTTTGAGGAAGTGCCATTTGAAGTGAGACTTAAAATGAAACTGTCATGGTAGGGTTTGAGGATAGCCCATTCTTTGCATCTCCTTTCCTTTTTTTTTTTTTTTTTTTTTTTTTAAGATTTTATTTATTTATTTGACAGACAGAGATCACAAGTAGGCAGAGGGGCAGGCAGAGAGAGAGAGAAGGGGAAGCAGGCTCCCCGCTGCCCAGAGAGCCTGATGTGGGGCTCGATCCCAGGACCCTGGGATCATGACCCGAGTTGAAGACAGAGGCTTTAACCCACTGAGCCACCCAGGCGCCCCGCATCTCCTTTCTTTACCTGTCCTTTAAAAACCAAATTAATTGTGATCTGTGCAGTAAGACCCCTCTTCCCCCCTGAACTCTTTTCCCAAATATTCATGAGGTTTTCAGCCACTTCGAGTTTTTTATTAAATGTCACCTTAGTAAAGTCTTCAAAAAGTGACTTAAAACTGAACATTCTTTCATTCCCCTGTGCTCCTTTTTTGTATCACCTACTTTCTTTCTGTTACATTATACAACTTTTTTATTTATTCTCTATCTCTTCCCACCAGAATATATGCTTTAGAAGGATGAGAATTTTTTTCATTTGTTTTGTTCACTGCTGTGTCTCCAGTGTTTAGGTTGTAACAGACATTTGGTACATTTTTGTAGAATGAGTGAATAGTGTATGGAGGCATAACAGTGTTGGATATGCAAAGCTCTTTCAGAGTTGAGATGTTTGGAAGGTTAGATGGCCTGTGCATGTAAGTTAATGATGACGGAGTTGACATGGTAGACCTAAGTGTGGATCTGGTTTCAAAAGATGGAAATGATGGGCTGAAAAACAAGGAGTTCATACCCTTAGCAGTGGGGAACTTTTTCATATTGAAGTCATCGATCTGAACCGTACTTTAGTGGGTGGGAGAGGCGAGAAGCCTAGGGATAGGAAGTATTTTCATTTTGGTAAGAATGATAAAAGGGAAGTAATAGGTATGTGAGAAATAGGGTAGCAGACCTTCTTAAAAGGACACTCTTCAGAAAAAAGGGACCATTCTAGAGTTTTAAACATGTAAAACCTAATTTAGTTATTGTCTTAGATTAGATCCAGTTTCTCCGTTTTGGGGGTCAATTGGGAAACTGAATTGGATATTAGATAAAATTATCAAATTATTAATTTTAATCTTGTGATTACTGATACTTTGAAAATAATTCGTAAAGCAAATGTTCTCATTTTAAAAGATACTTATTAAAATAAATACTTTTGGCAGGAGAAGTGATTTTTCCAGAAGAAGTAGTGCAAAGAAAGTTAAGAAGACCTAGTAATTGATAGACTACTATTAAGTCAAGAGTAGAAGGAAAGTAGGATGCCACACTGGTTTGAACCTGACTGAAACAGTAACAGTGCTATCTGGAAAAATGCCGATGTCAAAAGGAGTAGTTAAAATGTGTAAAGGAGAAAATACGACATTAATCCTCTTCTCTCTTTCCCCCTCCGCCCCTTCTTCCTCTCCCTCCCTTTTTTACTCCTTTTCTTCCTCCCTCTCCCTTTCACCATCCTATCTGTTCTGGAGCTTCTTCAGTGCAGTAACTAAGCTATCATATATTTTGGTATTATTTTCTTTGCTATCATATTAGTAGTTTGTAGTTACAGTTTATTTGGTAGCCAAATGACTCTAGTTTGTTTCTTAATGTAGCTGTTTTAGATGGGCATGAAATTACTTTCATCTGGGATGGCTTTTGTATCTTCTCCCACTGTAAATTAATCTTCACCTAAACAGTACACATGTCTTATTACTATTGTAAATTGATCATTTTCAGATTTAAGTCAGATTTAGATCTTGATTAGGAAAGTATTAATTACTTCTAAGATGTATATAGGGTTTACTTAACTGTGAAATATCTTCAGGATCTTACTGTTGTTTCTGGTTTTTAAGAGGATGGATGAATAGAAGGAACAGGGATTTGATTTCAACTCTTATTGGCACTATTCACTTTTAATTTCCTTAGTTTCAGAATGCTCCAAGAGGCAAATTTCTTATTTGCCTTTCCTGCTTTCAGGAAACGTGTTATCTGATGGTAAATCTGAAAGCTAGCAAAAGCAGTTGTTGTCAGTGCTTGTTTTTTGTTGTTATTGTTGTTTTGTTTTGTTTTATTACAGAGATTGAGGAGTTAATTGAAGAAGCAATGGAAGCTTAGTGATGGGGCACCTGGGTGCTCAGTCAGTTGAGCCTCCAGCCCTTGATTTTGGCTTGGCTTGTGATCTCAGGGTCATGGGTTCAAGCCCTGTGTGGAACCCCCTTCAGGAGCCCCGCTTTGGGTTCCATGCTCAGCATGCTTTCTGCTTGGGATTCTCTCTCCCATTGGCCCACTCCCGGCTTGCGCCTGCACTCTAAATAAATAAATAAAATCTTTAAAAGAAAAGCTTAGTGAAAAAAATCAGTCTGTATGTAATGAATTCTTAATCTGTCATTGTATGACCACTTTATTTGGCTTAAAGTTCTCTGGCTTTCCAGAAGCAAGACAGTAAACTTATTAAGGACTATTAAAGATGGCACACACAACAAAATATTTTTTTTAAAAACTACCTTATTTTGAATTAGTATCTGTTTTCTCTTGATCTCCAAAGACTGTGCAACAGTGAACCTTTTTCACTAAAAGATTGGCATTCTTTTCTTTTTCTTTTTTTTTTTTTAAGATTGGCATTCTTACAGATAAAACCCAGTATCTGTTTGTAATAATTTTCCTTTTTTTTCCTTCAGCTTCAGCAGTTAATACAAACTTTACAGCTACAGCAGCAGAAGCCTCAGCCTTCGATTCTGCAGGCCCTGGACGCTGGTCTTGTTGTGCAGTTGCAGGCGCTCACAGCACAGCTCACCGCGGCAGCTGCGGCAGCTAACACCCTGAACCCCTTGGAACAGGGAGTGGCTTTCAACAAGGTAGAAATTAAGTTACTAGATTTGTTCTGTAAGAAGTATTAAAGTCTATATGCTATTGTGTGGATTCTAATTCTGTACATTATATTTTATTATAGAACTATCACAGTATGCACTCTACTGTATAATATATATATTTTCAACTTTAAAACCACTGTGCTTTATAAATTAGGCCTAACTATAAAGGATAGTGGTTTTAAAGTTGAAAGTCTTTCATGTATAATTTGTAGTAGGATTGCCTCAATGTTCTTATTAATTATGAGAACATTAAAATACCTTGGAAGTGTTACACATATTATTTTTGTTTCTGCTACTATGTTTTTTTAGGAAAATAAATACTGATTTATTATACTACTTTGACATTTTTATCTGTTAGCTTAATTGAAAATTTAATAGCTAAACCACATGGGGGTCACCTGGGTGACTCAGTCAGTTAAGCATCCAACTTTTTTTTTTTTTTTTTTTTTTAAATTTTTTTTTTTTTTTTTTTACAGACAGAGATCACAGGTAGGCAGAGGCAGACAGAGAGAGAGAGAGGGAGAAGCAGGCTCCCCGCTGAGCAGAGAGCCCGATGCGGGGCTCGATCCCAGGACTCTGAGATCACGACCTGAGCCGAAGGCAGAGGCTTAACCCACTGAACCACCCAGGCGCCCCAAGCATCCAACTTTTGATCTCAGCTCAGATCTTGATCTCAGGGTTGTGAGTTCAAGCCTTACATTGGGCTCCCTGCTGGGCATGGAGCCTACTTTAAAAAAAAAAATAGCTAAACCACATAAAAAAACCTTTAAATTGATCCTTGGGAAGACAATTGACCATCCTAAGAAGAGAAATGTACTATTTCCACTGGTCCCCTCTCCCCCAACCCCCCCATGGAGGAATAGCCCCAGTCAGAAGTAAAAGCTCCTGCCCCTTTCCCTCAGGCCTGGACAGACACCAGGATGTTTGTGTGGGACTGACTGCCAGCTGACTCCAATCTCCTGTTGTGGAGACACAGCTCTGGATCCTGGAGGGGCTGAACATGGTGTCAGACTAATATCCCAGCTTCCGGTGGGGTCCGGGGGTTCTGCCAGCCCACCACCGAGACACTGCAAGGCAGGAAAACTGGCTGCTTGATAGCACAGGAAAGCGTCACCCTCTCTGAAAGCCTCCCATTAAAACCATTTATTTTATCACTGAAAAAAACAAAACAAAACAAAACAAAAACCAAAAAACTGCAGGCAGAGTCAAGCAGAGGTGGCATGCTTCACCGAGCCTCCTGTAATCCACTGATTACAGACCTAGATTTTTTTTTTTTTTTAAAGATTTTATTTATTTATTTGACAGACAGAGATCACAAGTAGGCAGAGAGGCAGGCAGAGAGAGAGGAGGAAGCAGGCTCCCCGCGGAGCAGAGAGCCCGATGTGGGGCTCCATCCCAGGACTCTGGGATCATGACCTGAGCTGAAGGCAGAGGCTTTAACCCACTGAGCCACCCAGGCGCCCCCTAGATTTTTTTTTTAATCAAGCTTTATTACTATTGGCAAGCCATTTAATTATTTTAATCCCATCTTCTCTTCTGTAGAGCATTAGTATTTATCCTGTATTGTGATTTGTTTTGTTATATAAGGCAGTGTACATCAAAGTACTTTAAAGATTCACTCAAATGCTTTATTATAGCATAGCATAAAATTATATAAAACATTTATGTATTAATATGATAGAGGTAAATTAATGGGATGACATTGACATTCAGAATAGCATTTGTTACTTATTTTTGTGTGAAGCACCTTTTAATTTGTCTTTTTCTCCCCCCCCGCCCCCCCGACTTAGAAGTTGATGGATAGGTTTGATTTTGGGGAAGATTCTGAGCATAGTGAAGAACCCAAAAAGGAAATTTCAGCCTCTCAACTGTAAGAATTGTTTTTTTTTTTCTTTATTTCCGTAATTTTTTCCATTATTATTATAAACATTGGATGGGACATTGCTGTCTGAACTACCAAGTATACTTTGAATAAGGTGGGATAAAATTTCAGGCTTTTGAGTTCTAACATTACAGAAAGATGGTTAGAGTTGCTGTCTTGTTGCCTCCCTATTTATTTTGGCTCCTTTCTCAGATCTTTGCAAATATTTGGGATATATCAAAATTTTTTATAGGAGAATTGATAGATGTTGATATAGTTGTGATATTTTCTATATCTGTATTAGGCATTTTATTCAATTGTATGAATATTTGAAATAATAGAGGCTTGCTTCTAGTGTCAGTGTCCACTTCTAGGAATTCTCCCGAATTCTGGGAGTGAATCTTACTAATCAGAAGTAAGGATTGGGACTGTAGGGATTTTGTTTTTTTCAAAGATAATGGTGTGTATATTTTTATTTAGATCAGTGATTTTCTTTTCTCAAGCAGTTCTGTGTAGCCTTAGGTTCTTGCAGGTTTGAGAAAGGACCAGTCGGGGAGAGGATGTTGGAGAGTGGGGGCGTGGCAGGAGGGAGGATGGAGGATGATGAATGGAGGGAATGCCTCTGGGAATCTTGTTTCAAGCAGAGCCCATTAATTTTATATATTGGGATAATATGTCTTAAAATATATTTATATAATACAGAAAATACATATGTCCTTTTGGTAAAGAGATTTTACTCGAAAAATTAAAATCTAATACTTTAGATTATGATTTACGAAGTTAGAGGAGAAACATTTGAGATTGTGTAGATCAGTGTCCTGAACAACGTAAGAATCTCCTTTAATGGTTCTGATAGGGTATTTTTATAATGTTTTAATGCCTTCTATGATGACAACTTAAATAATCTTTGTTATTGAATCCTGTTTGATTTACTTTATATACACTGATCCGTTTTGCATTCTGAAGCAAGGAAACAAATTTGCTCCATTATCTTTTGAGACCTAGCCTTTACAATATTTGAAGTTAGGTATCATTCTTCCCCTTAGGTTTATTTGCTCCAGATGAAGTACACTTTTTTTCAACTGTTTCAAGACTTCTCACCATCCTGATTGCCCCTTTTGGGATGCCCTCTTTTTTGTTCATGTCTTACCTTGTGGCACCCAGAATTCCAGGTGTATTCCAGGTGTGAATTTCCCAGAGTATAGTTAAATTATTATTTCCTCTTATCTAAGTACTGTTTCTGTTAACATACCTAATAATGTGAATGCTTTTCTAAAGAAAGCAGATTGGTTTTGTAAAGTTTATGGTCAATTACAATTGTTGATTTCACATGTACTGATTGATAGACCATTTCTCCCACTATCTTATAGTTAGAGAAAGAGTTAAAGTGACAATGTTTAGATACTTTTAACTGTTTTTATATGTTTCATTGAAATTTTCTTAAAGTACTCTAATGTAAAAAATACTAATTTATATGTATTTAATAGTGTGAGACCATAATAACAGATCTTCCATCAGAGTATCTTTAACATGTTATCCACCTGTTGAAAGATTATTGGAGAGTATCTTTCTCTTTTACCATATTAATGTTCTGAGGTATTCCATTTTCTGTTACTATTTCAAAAGTAAACATTGTAGTGGAGTCTGTTTCATTTAATTGGCATGGGGGAGGTTGAAAATCAGTTATTTTTGTATTATCTTTACTGTGTTTTAAAATATATTTCTACTTGTTTTTCCTTCTAGTTCTCATGTTTCAGAATCTGTGAACAATTCCATTTTTCATCAGATAGCTGAACAACTACAGCAGCAAAACCTTGAACATCTCAGACAGCAGCTCCTAGAACAGCAACAGCCTCAAAAGGTTTATAACTCCATCTTGTGGTCTTTAGAGTTATTGCTATCTACATTCTATAAAGTGGTGTTTCTCAAGCATGGTGATTTTTCTTCAGTTCTAGTACTAGGAAGGTCAGCTTTTTCAGAACATTTACAGTCTTTTCTGTTACCAGAATGTGTTCTGGATATATACATGTGCTTGGTACACTAGCAGTGGAGAACAGAAAACAGAGGTGGTGTTTCATTATTACAGCTTAAAACTCCATGTGCTTTTCTTCACTCAGTTCCCTATCAAGCAAGGTCAAGACAATTTTGCTTTTCTTGTGATGGCAAAATAGATTACTCCGTTAATTAGGCTGCTGATGTGTGCAGGAAGTTTAGGAGGCTTGCATTACATTTAATGCTATGAGATAGCATTTTGACTTCCATTGTACTGTAGTGAAATTAAACATCTATTGCAAAACTGTATAGCTAATCAGATGTATTATTAGTCTTAAGACACACTGGTTTTTTTTTTTTTTTAAAGATTTTATTTATTTATTTGACAGAGAGAGATCACAAGTAGACGGAGAGGCAGGCAGAGAGAGAGAGAGAGAGAGGGAAGCAGGCTCCCTGCTGAGCAGAGAGCCCGATGCGGGACTCGATCCCAGGACCCTGAGATCATGACCTGAGCCGAAGGCAGCGGCTTAACCCACTGAGCCACCCAGGCGCCCCACACTGTTTTTTTTTTATATAATTTTTTTAAAGATTTTATTTATTTATTTGACAGAGAGAGAGAGAGAGAGAGAGATCACAAGTAGGCGGGGAAGAAGGGTCCCTCCTGAGCAGAGAGCCCGATGTGGGGCTTTGATCCCAGGACCCTGAGATCGTGAGCTGAGCCGAAGGCAGAGGCTTAACCCACTGAGCCACCTAGGCGCTCCAAGACATACTGTTATTTTATGTACAGCTAAGAATTTTTAATCACTTCAAAAGTACATCTTACAGAGTTAAAAGAACCTTAATAAATTACAGGGATGATAATGTGTGAAGAAGAATCATACTTTAGAATTGATAAAATTTGTCAAACTTCAAAGGCAGGGTTAATCCATTACAAAGCCTATTTTTCCTCCATTTGAGAAATACTTGCATGTATGAACTGTTTAGAACATGAGTGTTTTCAAATTCCGCCCAATCACACTTCTTCCTTATATCCAAAACTTTACTAAGTCATACTCCAAACATTTTTAAAGTATGAGCAGTGCATTGGTAGGCAAATGGTATATACATAGATGAACACAGGTGAACAAAAAAGCATCTGGCCTCAAATAATCTCTTCTCTAATGGAGCATGTACATCTGTATGAACACAGGGCAGAATTCTAGTTTCTGTAATAGAGGTACAGGTGAAGAACAGTGGAAGTAAAGGAGAGAGAAAAGTTATTTTAGTTTAAAGGGATAACAAACCTTGGACGCTGCTGGGGTCTGAACTTACCCTTTTAAATCAAATAGTAAGCATAAAATGATATTAATGGTATTTGCTAAAGTTGGAACATATACTTGTATTATGAGAATGGAATTCTGTATCTTATTTTGAAGGAATAATTTTGATAGAAATGGTTGGAGTAGATACATCTACTACAATATTTCATGTCAGGCAGATATATCTGCATGAGAATTCAGGAACTTTAAAGGTAGAGCACAATGTAGAACATTTGGACGTTGTTTAAAGAAAAACACAAATTGTAAATCAATGAAAAGAAACAAGTTGTCAGTCATGTAATTAAAAAACCACAGAGCTGTTAGAGAGGCAAGGGCAGTTATGATGGAAGAGGTTATCCAACGGCAGATTTGTCCATTTGTAAATGTGGCAATTTTAATTGTCTTAGTTCCAGTTTCCCTTCAGGAGTTGTAAAAGAAGTGGTAAAATCAAAGTAGTATTCTTAAAATTAACACCAAATTATTGAAGTGAAAATTCCTAGGAACTTGAGAGAACATTTTTCTTTTTGTTCTTTTTTATTCTTTAAATTCAGTTAGCCAAAATATAATACAGCATTAGTTTCAGATGTAGAGTTCAGGAATTTGTCAGTTACACGTAACACCCATTGCTCATCTCATCATGTGCCCTCCTTAATGCCTGTCACTCAGTTACCCCAGCCCCTCACCCACCTCCCCTCCAGCAACTCTCATTCCCATATATTCCCATATACTCCCATAATATTCCCTTAATTAGGAATTGCTCATGGTTTGTTTGCATCTCTCATTTCTTCCCATTCCATTTTTCAGGGTTATTCTGTCTTAAGAATCTCACCAACCAAAGAAAAACAGAGCTCTGGTCTTAGTTAATACATAATCTCAAAATTTTAAGAAAATTAGATCCTTTTGAAAGAATTACATGTTGTTAAAAGCTTTTGTTGTTCAAAAGTGAGTGTTGAAGAAAGGGAGTGGTGAAAGAAAAGCAACTTTTCTAATAAATCAGGTAGATGGTGTTCAAAACCTGTGACAAATTTCCGGTTGGAAAGTAGTGTATCAGCAGGGTAACCATTAAATTTAATAAATTGTGTAATTGTCTCTACCAAACCAGTTGCTTTCATATGAAGAAGATAAGGTGAAATAATGCAGAAAAATGAAGCATTTTTGTTTACCAGTGAGCTCCTTACGGCCACCTAAAAGTTCTTAGGGTGTCTTAAAGAAAGGAATGGGATTGCCAGTGGCACCCTACTCATTGCAGCCCTGACCACACCTGCATGTGAGTTGATATCTAGTATCCCTAACAATAGAAAACCACTGAAAATGGAGCACTTCAAGGAGTGGCTGAATTATGAAGGGAGTAATAGTCCTGTTGGAAGGAGAATGATTGCCCTTGTCTGAAGTAAGTTCTAGTTCATGATATTGATAATTGTTTTATCAGGATATTCAAAAGATGTCCAGAAAGCTATAGCTCAAAATACTGATAATGAAAATGGTAGGACTCATAAAAAGGGCTTTTGAAAGAATGTTAGGAATAGAAAGATTGTGGAAGGTATAGCCACTTAATAATGAAGAGCTATCATATGTAACTTACTTTGATTCAGTATTTTTTTTATATAGGAGTATATAATGGAAAGAGTAGAATTGAACATGATAAAACCTAAGATGGGCGATAATATTAAGAGCCTTGAGTTGCTTTAAGTGATTTGATATCTCGGCTCACATAAATCGCATTTCATGGTACTGCAATTGTAGGATTATGGCCTAGCATGTGTGAATTTCAGTAAGGCTTTCAACAGTGTTTCTTGTCACTTATACAGAAAAAAATGGAGGAACATGGGTCTATAACTGATCAAAACGTGACACTTCATGAGTGTTAATCCAACTTTGAAAGAAGTCTCTGCTAGCTGCTGTTACCCTTCTATTTTTTCAGTATTTTATTCAGTATTCAGTTTTCTGTCTTCTATTTTTTCAGTATTGATGCTTTACATGAGGACATCATCGAAGAAACTAGAAGTGTATCCCAGGATATATACTAAGGATGTATACCAGTGTATCAGTAAAGCTGTCATTTGCCACCTGGGTCCAATGGATCCTTTTGAAATATATGTGAAGTCATCTCACAGATAGTTTACAGAAGTGAGACTAAAAGAGATAGGGGGAAATACTTGATGAGCAGTTTTAATTTACATAATTGAAATGTAGTCAACATTTTTGTGTCCATTAAATTCAAATGTCACACATTCTTTTAGCAAAATAGAACAGTCTGGGTTCTTGTTGCAAAATACTGCAAGATAAAGTCCTTCCTATTAACTGACTAAGTGGATGGAAAGACCCGGTTTTTGTCCCTAGAGACACATTTTTCTGCCATCAGTTTTGGAGTTTGAGAAATATATTTAGGTTATGATCATCTGAAAACTCATAGTTCACTTAGGTATTAAACTAATACCTAGTCATTAGAATCTAGAATGCTGTTCTTTTTTGCATCATGTTCTACTGTTTTGTTTACTAATTATGAAATATATTCCTGTGTCAGTTTTCTTCTCCTTACCATTATGTACAGAAATGGAAAAATCTATTCAACTATGTTCCCAGGAAAGCATAAAGCAGACTACAAAGATAGTGTCTCCAGCCTTATTTTTACTTTCTTGAAATATACAGTATTTTTGGTAATGCAGTACAACTGGGTGATGATGATTTTATTTCACTACTGAATCACCCTTCTTGGCAATTACATTCCTTTTTCTTTTTTGTATTGTTAGTCTTTCTTGAAATAATTGGGAATAATTGATGGATAATAACAGAATTATTCTTGGGATGATGAAATAGCAAAATGTTTCAGTATTTAAGATAATAAGACTTCTAAAATCTCACAACGTGTCTTAGACACAGCAAAGGGTCCAATGGACCTAATGCTAATTGCAAGGTAATGGGATAATTTTTAGTTGAATTTTTATTTTTATTTTAATAGTTATTTTTTTGAGAGAGAGCCCATGCACGTGACTGCACAGAGGGAGCAGAGGGAGAGGGGCAGAAAGTCCTAAGCAGACTTTGCACTTGTGCGGAGCCCAAAGTGGGGGCTTACCTCAAAACCCTGAGATCATGACCTAAGCAGAAATCAAGAGTTGGTTGCTTAACTGACTGTGCGACCCCGGCATCTCTTAGTTGAATTTTGAAGTAAATTTTCTCTTTGTTCTTCAGAAGATCTCTAAGAAAGAATAAAGCTTAAAAAAAAAAAAAAAAAAAAAAAAAGGATAAAGGTCATGAAATTACAGTCTTTCCAAATGGGTAAAACTCAAATACTAAAATTAATTGCAGTGGATCTTGGTTGGTTATACCAAGAATTAACCATTAAATAGGAAAATAAGGGTAAAAAACAAGGGTAGGGGGGAATATGAAGCTTAAGATAAATGGAGAAGTAAGAAAAATATGATGTGAAGAATATATGCATACTAACTTGAGGACCAGTTAGATTCCAGATGGAGCTTTCTGTGTTAAGAATTCTGTTGTTACTATACTTTTAAAGATGTAAGCCAGGATTTTGCTTAAAGTGTGTTTGGTTTGTTTGGGAAGAGTGGTTGCTTACTGATGTTTAGGCCAGCACTGTGGCATGTAATAGTTGTTTCACAGAAGTCTTTTCTACTTTAGCTTTTCATTTATTTCTAAACCTTGAAAATGTTACTTATTCTTAGAGAACCTGTTCCTTTATAAAGTGAGAAACTTGGAACAGTTCTTTAAATGCTCTTTTTGGCTCTTAATTTTTATGCTTTTTCTTTCAGATAGATGTCATTAGAATAAGAATTTAAAAATCTTACTGAGATACATAACTAATGTGTATAACATTGTGACTTGATACATTTATATATTGTAATAAGCTAACACTTCTCTCATGTCCTAAAACTATCATTTTTTTGTGGTGGGAACAGTTAGCTCTAGTCTCTTAACTTTGAAGTTTATAATATTGTTGTCTGTAGTCACTGTGCTTTACAGATAAAGAGACTGAATTTCACAATTCAAGTAACTTGTTCACAATCACAGAGTTTGTAACAAGCGACTAGTAGTTTTTAGTTACTCTTCTCTGTTAATTATTTTAGTATCTCCCAGCTTGTGTACTACCAGTAACTCTTTTTATTAATCTTGAACACCTGCAAAGATGTTTTAGAAAACATTTATGTGGGAAGACGTTTTCATAATTAGTTTTCTTATTTTTAGTTAACACCGTAGTATATGCAGTTGTTAAATTGGATTCAGACTATTAAGTATCACATAAGTAGTATGACTATATCAAGTTGCTATACATCTAGTCCCAGCAAAAAAAGAGGGGGGAGATTCAAATTTTAAGTGTTCCTTTAATTCGTCTTCATTGCCTAACTCTTACTAGTTTCTGAAATATATTACATATTTCAGAATACTTCCTAATACAGGTTGAGAAAGCCCAAATTGAGAACTGTTTACTAGATCAGTTAATTTGATGATGATATTTAAGCTTTGTTTTGCCTCTACACATTAATGTATGACTTAGTTCTTTAATGTAAAGTACTTTCACATTAAAAGTATTATAGCATTTTATAAAAATGCTGATTGCCGTTGAAATTCTAGATTCATTTAACTTAGTGCTGTTATATATTTTTTATGATGTAATACCTTTATTCTTGGAAGTATAATGATTATATTTTCCACAATTAAAAATTTATTTGAAGAGCTACTTGATCTTACCATTCTAATAGAGCCTTCTCCCTCTTTTATAGAGGTGTCCCATGCTCTTAAGTAAACTTGGATTTGTACAAAAGTGTGATTTGAGATTGATTATAGATGATTTAATGTGGGATTTCTATATGTGTTGGGCTCCTTTTTAAAACTTTAATTGTGACGTTTGCATGTTTAAATTCTGTTGTAATAATATGCATGGTTTTTTAATGTTTGTGTGTTTGTATACATTCTCAATAGGCAACCCCTCAGGATAGTCAGGAGGGAACATTTGGATCAGAGCATTCTGCCTCACCATCACAAGGGAGCAGTCAGCAGCACTTCCTTGAACCTGAAGCAAATTTGGATGATTCTATAGATATTCAGCAACAGGTAAAAAGTTAATGTTTTTCTAGGTCATAAATTCTAAATTATTTAGAGGAAAATATTATAAAATATGGTAAATGTTTTTATTTTATGTAAAATATTTTTATGCAAAATAATGATAATGTCCTAAATTTTTCCTCACACTTAAGGTCTATACTGACCATGTTACTTAATATTAGGCATTAATGCTGCTATGGTGAATATTTTGTAAGGCAGAATTTTAAGTATATATTGCATCTCAATAAGCCATTTTATTTTCAAGGATATGGATATTGATGAAGGGCAAGATGGAGTGGAAGAGGAGATCTTTGAACAAGAAGCAAAGAAAGTGGCTGTTCGCTCAAGATCAAGAACACATTCACGATCTCGTTCAAGGTTCTACAATAATATTTAAGAGTAGCTGTGTGTGAACTTTTAAAAGTGGGCTCTGTTTCTTTATATCAAGATTAAAGGAATGTTTTTCTTAGGGTGACATACTGTCCAGAAAGAAGTAATTCACAATTTCAAAAACAGAAGAATTCTTTGTCCTCTTTTAATTGGGTATATATCTGTGGCCATTATTTGAATAATATACATTAATTGTAGCCAATTAACCATATAATAAGACTTGGATTTGGGATTATACCAGATTTTAGTTAATAATATTATGATTATGTGCAGCTTAGGATACTATTGCCTCTGAAAACTGTTCAGTCAAGCTATAGAGGAACAGTGTTAGAAATTCTATTGTATTTCTTAGATTTTATTTCATTTTATAATAATACCAAAAGTGATCATAAAAATAAAACTACAAGAATTTTTTTATAAATATTAAGCATAGTATCAGATTATTATAAAGTATATCTTATAGTTTTCTTTGTTAACTTTTCAACATGGCTAAATCTCATTAATGTACATGCTTGTTCAAATTTGAGTTGAGGTTTCTTAATCTGGTAATTCTCATGTAGTTTATATATATTGTATTTGCTACAAATTGTCTTAAAACTTTAAGTCATTAGTCTTTAATATTAATATAACCTATTTTCTGCACGTAAATATCCCTGAAAATCTGAGCAGTATATGCTGGAAGAAGGGCAGTATCTTTGATGACTTATTAGTCATTTCTTACTTGTTTCAAGAAGTTATTTGTATTTACTTCTTGTAATTGAGAGCCTGTGAGTTCTGCTCTCTATAAACCCATCTCAGCTCAGTGAGTAATCTAGCCAAAGCAAATACAGTGTTAGAGCTAAAATCTTAACAGCTTCTTTGTCTTAACAAACCTCCTTATTAAGCATTTTGAAGCAGTACAATGATGTATGGTTGACAGGAAAAGAAGAAACTTTCAGCAACACCTGTATTTAAAGTCAAGCACTTTGAAATTTTAGAAGTTGAAAACTTACAAGCAGAATTCTTTAGTGGTCTAATGCCCTGTTGGAAACATTCTCTGTTTCCTAATTTTAAGAATATAGTGTCTTTATCACCTAAGGATTTTTTAATTTTCTTTAGTCTTTCATTCTTATTCTTGACTCTTTCTTGAAAAATGAGTTGGAGGACACTAAAGAAAAGAAAGTAAGGATTACTGGATAGAATCTTACTGGATTCTACTTACTGGATAGAATCTGATTCTCTTCTTCCTGGTATCAGTACGAATCATTGCAAACAAACCTCTATTACAGTATGGGCTTGAGCAATACATAGGTTTGAGAAAATGCATGTTTGATACTTCATTCTACTTAAACATTTTTTAAGAGGTAATTAAATATAAAACAACCTTTTGTGTGTGTGTGTATTATGTGTGTGTCCCCCCCACGCCTTTACCTGTAAGTGAGAAGTTTGACAGAAGAATAATATTGTTGTTAGAAGTAAAATAAGATTTTTTTTTTGTAGATCACCCAGAAAACGAAGGTCTCGGTCACGGTCTGGTTCTCGAAAACGTAAACACAGAAAGCGATCACGCTCACGCTCAAGAGAAAGAAAGAGGAAGTCATCACGTTCATACTCAAGTGAAAGGAGAGCGAGAGAAAGGGAGAAAGAACGACAGAAGAAGGGATTACCTCCAATTAGATCTAAAACATTAAGTGGTAAGTGACATAATTTTACAAATCTTTGGTTTCAACAGATGTTAAAATCATTAACTGCTAGAGTCAACTGTATTTTTAGACCAAGAAATTGAAAAGTAGTTTAGTAAATGAATAATTTTATCTTTGGTTTTTGTTAAGTGATAGAGGAGAAAAGAAAAAGGAAGAACAGGTTCTTATGAAACACTAAGATCATTGAGAGTTGATTTTTTTTTTTTAAACGCAAATTGGAAAATACAGAACTTGACTCATAACATATGAAGTGGACTAGGCCTACTGTCTCTTACATAGACACTGTGGTTTCTATTCAGAGCGTCATAGCCAAGTTTGACCACCAGGTCTGGGGAATAATTATTGAAGGAACCATATAGATTTTAAAGCTAATTGTAAATTTACTGGATTGGCACCAAGAGAGATTCCCATTGTACAAACTTTCCCTCCTTTATATGTTAATTGATAATGTATAATTAGAACAAATTTGTTAATAATGAGAGTTTGAAGGAGAGTTTACTCTGCAGGAATGTAAGTAGTACCAGATTATTTCTGAAGGATTTCTAGTGAGTTATGATTTCTAAGGTGAACAGACATACTGCACATGAGCAAAGTGCATAAAATGGGGTGAAATGTCATTCTTTGCCAAGAGCTGAACACTGATCAGGTTGTCTAATTTCTGAAAGTCTCCTAATAAACTCTTTCTGCTATGGAGATAGATAAGTAATTGGTATAATTTATACTGCTGAATCATCCTGGATACCCAGGCTTATAATTAAAGGCAACAATCAGCCTCTTACTAAGTTCTGGCATTTTCAGCAAGCTGTGGCTATCTTTCCAGAATCTTACCTGATTGTGAGAGCCAGTGCTAATTTAATAATGTTGATATTCCTAAGTCTGAAAATTTGTTTCTCTCCTTAGGGTGAGAGACCAAATTCAAACATTTTAGTGCTATCTGATAAAGAAGTAACATCAAAGATCTGACCATAAAATCTATGCTGTGCCTCCCTTCTCATGATACCGTTAGGACATACAGAATCACCCGTTTTAGGATAGGGCTTTTATGTGGAGTCTCTTCCATTTAGTTCCTCACTTTACTTACCATATTTTAGCTGCCACCTTTTACATAGTTATCCACCATGGAGTTTATTTCCTGTTGCTGTGGTTTTTTTCATGAGTCAAACACCATAAAAAGAAAATTCAGAAAGCACATAAGAAAATACAGTGAAAGTATATCCCTCATTATTTGCCTCAAAACTCTCCTTACTCCAAAGCAATTTCATGTGGCCCCAGTGCATTTTAAACACATAAGGTAGTATTTCCCTACATTAGTCCTTTGAACACAAGAGTATTCATGAGTAGTGCAGTGGATATGAAACATCAGCAAGCAGTAATATTCTAGGAATCAGTGTCCGTCCGATGTCGTCGTCATCGTGTGCACCCCCTCCACCTGCCGTGGAATGGGGGAGATTCATTATTGCTTTCTGGGTTTAAAAAAAAAAAAAAAGTTCTCTGTGAGAAAAATTGTGGAGAGACTACCTTGAAACAGTAGGGGAAACATGGAACATATTTTAGGAAGATTAAAGCAGCTGTGATGTGGTAGAAAGAATACTGAAGTGGTGGGACCTATTGTGAAAGAGGTCTAAAAATTTGCTGAGGGTTTGTGGTAGGTTGAATAGTGGTCCTCAGGACCAAAGATGTCCATAGCCAAATTATTGGAACTTGTAAATATGTTACATCACATGGTGTGATTAATCAGGATTTTGGTGTGGGAAGATTAACTTGGGTTATCCAGAACAGCTCAGTGTAATCCAGGGGTCCTTCCTTATAAGAGAGAAACAAGAGGGTCAGAGGGAAAAGGTGATGTGAAGATGGAAGAAAGATGAAGATGGGTAAATGCTCCACTCTTGGCTTTGAAGATTGAAGTTGGAGCCAAGGAATGTAGGCAGTTTGCCAAGGAAACAAATTCTCCCCTAAGAGTGTCCAGAAAGAATGCAAGCTTGTTGATCCATTTTAGACCTCCACAACTGTAAGAGAATATGTTTTTTTGTTCTAAGCTACTAAGTTTGTGGTATTTTGTTACAGCAATAGAGTAAAAGTAATATATTGTACCTTGAGACTTTAGTTGAATATTAAATTATATGTACATAGGATGAGACTGTGTGAGGCAAAGAACAAATAGGGTAAGAACATTACCAGCGAATCTGTTGGTTGAATGATTTTTTTTTTTTTAAGATTTTATTTATTTATTTGGCGGACAGAGATCACAAGTAGGCATAGAGGCAGGCAGAGAGAGAGAGGAGGAAGCAGGCTCCCTGCTGAGCAGAGAGCTCAATGTGGGACTGGATCCCAGGACCCTGGAATCATGGCCCGAGGCAGAGGCAGAGGCTTTAACCCACCAAGCCAGCCAGGCGCCCGGGTTGAATGATTCTTAAAACTAACACAGGTCTGGAAGACCTTTGAATTAAAACCAGCTGGAGTAGAGAAACCTGGTCGAAAAACCTTCGTTCTGTAGAGATCTTGCAGTAGTCACTAGTGTGGGGTTAAATTAGCTCTAGAAAAAAACCTGCTGGAGGCCTGCCCCATAATAGATAAAAGATCATCAAAAGGATGGAAACTTTGTCTTTAAAAATGACATTGATGTAAATCTAGACTTACTAAACTCCGCGAATGTATCAGCTGTTGTTAATATTTTGCAAGTGTTTTCAGGAAAAGAAAATGTTGCTGGAGTCATGAACTGTACAGCTTAAAGTAGGCGACAGGTCTTATGTATAGGTCTGTTTGTTAAAGAGAAGTACTTCCTGCATTTAAAATATCTTTTAAGTTTTTCATGAAAACAAGGAGTTCAGATTTCGCCTTTTCCCCCCATGTATCCCCGTGCACATTATTTAAGAATAAGGTGCTGTTTTCAGATTTAACTGTTGATTAGGAAGAAACATCCACTTAATCATTCCATCACAGAGGATTAAAGGTGCAGAGATAGGATTATAGTGAAAAGTGTTTTTGTGACTTTGTTGCATATTAGAATTACTTACAGAATTTTAAATTCCCAATTTCCAACCTGTTGTACCCCATAGCCCTTCATCTTTAAGGGTGAGACCCAGCTATCCATAGGTGCTTAAAGTATGCAGCCAAGCTTGAGATCCGGTAACACACAAGAGGTTGAATTTGCAGTAGGTATAGATGAACATCTGAGATTTTAGTTCATTTTAAGCATAACAGATAAAAATGTCACCTAAGTGTTTTAAATATCCCCCTTAAATCTTATTTATTAGTGCTTTTTCTTCAGCTGCTTGAAAGAAATAGCTGTGTCTGTGTGATTTAGGTCATTTGTCTCTTTGATGTCTTGACAGTATGTAGTACTACTTTGTGGGTTGGTCAGGTGGATAAGAAGGCGACCCAGCAAGATTTAACCAATCTGTTTGAAGAGTTTGGACAAATTGAATCCATTAATGTAAGTATCACCTCTTATACCATAGTTTAAGGTTAAAAATACACATATAGAGGATTATCAGTCAGAGAGTCACTTTGGTTCCTAATGAACCCAGTAGAGTATCTGCCTTTAATAACGCACATCCTTATAAGGATTATTTGACTTTAATCATTTCTGTGTTTATTTCTGCTCCTGTTACTCTCCTTAATTAATTTTTCTTTTTTAGTGGAATTCTAATGAAATATTCTTAGGGGTGTTATAGCAGTATAGCTAGCACTTGGTTCCTAAAGGCATCTAGTGTTTGGGTTAGCAGAAACCCTATCTGTGACCTATTTTAGTTATATCCCCCCTTTTTTCATAATGAAAGTGAGGAAACTGAGTCCCAGAGAATTGTAATCACCTACACATGAGTACATAGATAATAGTGGAGACACAATAGGACTTGGGGTCCCAGTCTTTTTACCAGTCCCCTTGCTCCTCTCGCCATCTCTCCCTCTCTCAAGAGGAGAGAGAGAAAAACAGTGACAAGAAAATCTGTCTTTGACTTTTGAGTTTGAACTTGAGTGCAACTCTTTCACTCCTCAGCTTGATTTTTTTTCAGCACTTTTGCTCCATCCAGTCTCCTTTGAGCATTTTCTTCTTCCTGAAGGTCTGTTTCCCCCCATCCCCCGGGGCTAAAACTAAGTCATGGAATGTTTTATAGAAATTTGTTTCAGAAGCCTAATTCATTAACCCTATGAATTTATTCACTGTTGTTATACTTTTCTGTCTGTTTGGACTTTCATCATTTTTTACCAGGAAATTGGCTGCTTTTCCTTTCTAATCTTAGATGCTTACATGACCAAACTTGACTTTTCCTTATTAATAAGAGCACTCTTCTTTGAGTTGTTTGACCATTTCGTATACTACTTTCAACCATACATGATCTCGTTGGAACCTCACAAGAAGCTGCTTAAGTAATTCCCATTGCTTTTTACCAGTGAGGAAACTCAGTGATTTGCCTGAGTTGCACAGACAATAAATAGTTGATTGGTTGAGTGTTTCAACTTGGGAGTTTTATATTCCTCTCCCTACATTAGGAGTATGCTGTAAGCTTTCCTTACTCTTTTGTCTTTTCAAATTTCATCTGTCAAAACATAAATTATCTGCCAGAGTCCTTGATTGATCATATAACCTCTGAACTTTTTTTCTTATTTTCCCCTACCTGAGACGTCAGAAATGTGTTGACAGTTGAAAGAATAGGGATGCCCAAGATCATTGTCTTTAAATTCTTATGAAAGTGCCACAATTTACAAGGTGATTCTAATGCAGAGTCAGGAATCACTGCTCAGGATGGATCCTGAATCCAAGTAGCATTTGGATTGTCCTATTACTTGTGACATTTTTGGCCTTTGTTCTGTAGTCATTTGGGCATTTGTTTGCCTCTTCTGTATTACCTTTTAAGAGCATAGTACTTACAAATAGTAGGTACTGAGTTATTTTGTGAACTGAAATGTATTGAATGGCTAATGATAAAATCCAGAATTTGAAAATTTGATGGAAAATTTATAAACCTTTCACTTGGTTTGGGGGAGTTTGAGGACTGAGTAAAAAGTCCGTTCGATTTAGCACTTAGGGGGTCATTAGTAAGCTGGAAGACAATTTTTCAGTGCATTGATAAAGAGTTGGGTCTATATTGCAGAAGAGAAAGAAATGTGTAGGGGGTTAGACTTCTTTTTTGAGAAGTTTGGTATTCAAGTTTTGGAAACAAGCTTGACGTGAACTCTAAGTGAAAGTGAAAACACTAAGGCTGTTTTCCTATTTGTGTTAAAAGCTTTGTCCGGAAGCACTTGGGCAAAATTAAGTTTTGTATAGTGAAGCTTTAGTGTCACCATTCGTTGTAGATTATAGATTTTATATTAAGGATAAGATACTTCCCCCAAACAAAAATCTTTCTCACGTTACTCAGTATGACACTTGGAAAAATTGAAATACTTTCAATTATTTGAATAAATTATATGCTTTCAAATATGTTGGCCATGCAGTATTGGTTTCTTTTTATCTGGTTGTATTGTATACATGTCTTTTTTACACTTTTTGTTATAGTGTATATTGTGTATTAGACAAACTTTGATTGACAAATGATATTCACGATTTTGCTTATGTTATGACGTAGAATGAGACCCAACCAAATTTTGAATTCTTTTTAAACTAAGTAATTAGTTGTACATGGATAATACCAATAAACAGCCAAAGAAAGAAAAGGGAAAAACCATTGAGTCTTACTAGTCTAAGTGATCTGTTTCATTAAAACCATAAAATAATGTCAGAATGAATGCCTTCATGTTTACTGTTTCTAAAGAAAAAATTTTTTTTAATAGATGATTCCTCCCAGGGGCTGTGCTTACGTCTGCATGGTTCATCGACAAGATGCTTTTCGGGCTCTTCAGAAACTTAGTTCCGGATCATATAAAATTGGGTCCAAGGTCATTAAGGTAAGATTGGAGGGGAGGGACCCATGCTCTTCTTTCATTGGATTATTAGAATGTTCCTGTATTTGATACATCTTCTTTTTTAATGTTAAGGAAAAACCTCTAGAAAAGCTTATTATTTCAGTATTGTTGAGTTATAGAATTAGAAATAGGTAAAAATAGTAACTAAAACTTTAGTCAGATGATTCTTTGAAATCACACAGTTCTCTTGTTCAACCAGGGCACCATTTTATGAGTAGAACTTTCTTTACAAATTCTTTTTTCCTTTTCTTTCTCTCTTTTCTCTTGCTTCTCTTTCCTTCCTCTCCTCTCTTCTCTTCTCTTTTCCTTTCTTTCATTTTTAAGCGACCTCCACACCCAATGTATGGGGCTCAAACCTATAACCCGGAGATCAAGAGTTGCATGCTCCACCAGCTGAGCCAACCAGACACCCCAATAAGCTTATCTTTCATTCACTACTTTTTCCTAATGCTTCCTAATTTTTACCACTTAAGTATATTATTATTTCCTCCTTTTTAACATCTTATGTTGTACAACCCAGGCCACTGTGAAGGGTTTATTAATAAGTATATTTTTGTTTTCCTCTTAATCTTTAAACTGAGTGTTTATTGTATATTTCAAGTATATTATTGTATATAAATATATTATTGTATATTTCAAACATATTGTAGTTTATTTGTATATTGTATATTTATTGTTTATTTTTACTTCTTGTGACTAATTTACATTTTATTTCTGCACTTGAAGATAATTTATTTCATCAGTTTCTGCAACTGAGTTAAAAACTTAAAAAAAAATACTTCCAAGGTAGACAGTGTTTGGGTCATTTCATGGCAGAGAGTTTCCTCTGTGTGAAGTGTCTCCTTTCCAGGACTACCAAGATACTGTTTAAATTATGATAACTACTCTAATTATTACTAATGTAGGTTGACATTTTTATGGTGAAAAGTAGATTTGGATTGTTTTGGAAGTGTGTTTTTTAGTTTTAGTAAAAAGTGGAAATAAATCCCATGTTATAAATGGTGTTGCTATCTAATGCAGGCTTTATTTTAAAAACAAAAACAGGAGATACATGGAAAAACTTGGCTACTCTTATTTTTCTAGCATCAAGTGATGCTTTGCTTGTTAGCTAATTATTTTTTTATTTTTTTAAAGATTTTATTTGTTTATTTGTCAGAGAGAGACAGAGTGCACAGGCAGGCAAAGTGGCAGGCAGAGGCAGAGGGAGAAGCAGGCTCCCTGCCAAGCAAGGAGCCTGATGTGGAGCTCGATCCTAGGACACTAGGATCATGACCCAAAGTGAAGGCAGCCGCTTAACCGACTGAGCCACCTAGGCATCCCTGTCCAAATAATTTTATTTGTATTTACATTATTTGCATATAATTTTGAACATTTTATCTGGTGTTTAACTGTATACTTGAACTTTCTGTTTTCTTCTCTTCATTCCTAATAGATTGCTTGGGCTTTAAACAAAGGTGTAAAAACAGAATATAAACAATTCTGGGATGTGGATCTTGGAGTTACATATATACCATGGGAGAAAGTTAAAGTGGATGACTTGGAAGGTTTTGCAGAAGGAGGCATGATTGACCAGGAAACTGTAAATACTGGTAAGAACACTAAAGGTAGTTTAAAAAAACTATGCTTAAAAAGTTGTAATTGAGGAGAGTTGTGCATGATAAGGTGAACTGTACTTATTTTATTTCCTGGATTCTATGCCCCCAAAAAAGGAAAAGAAAAACAAAACACTGCCATTTCCAGTATATATGCTTAATGTGTCTTATTTACTGAATGTCAAAGTATAGTGTTTTAGAAGTCTGTAAATGTAGCATTTTTCCTGCATGTCTTTTAAGAAGTTCTGCTGTTTCAGAGAAAGAGTTATGTATATGGAGACTTTTTCTTTTTTTTAATTTGACAGAGAGAGCAAGAGAGGGAACACAAGCAGGGGGAGTGGGAGAGGGAGAAGCAGGCT